CTTAAGTTTTACACAGGGAGTGGTGGTGGGCGTGGCTGCCGGCTGCGGCCTCTGTCCTGCATGGTGCCTCGGGGATTGGCTGGTTCTCTCCGCTGCGTCTGGCTTTGTCCCCTCAGGGGGTGGTTTTGAGCCCCACCCCCACCCCCACCCCGTGGCTGGGGAGACAGCAGCCCGGAGCGGCCTGTCTCCTGCCGGACTGGGTCTCCTCCAGTCATTTCTCAAGGAAGAATTTCATGGTCTGGGGTGCAGGCTCTGTGCTCCTGAGCCGCCTCACACCAGAAGTGATCCCCAAGCAGAGGCCCACAGCTCTTCTCCCCTTGACCTCGAGCAGGAGCCCAGCGGGGAGAGTAGGAAGGGCCAGGGAGCTGCAGCCGCCCCGGACTCTGGGCCTCATGCCCGCCCATCCTCCTCCATGTTTTTCCGGGTGCCACGGTGCTGGCCGCCCTGGAAGGGGCCTGGTGTCCCCAGCCTTGTGGAGGATATGGGAGCTCTTCCCATGCCCTGGTTTCCCACGTCGGGCCTTCTGGCCGGGTCCCCTGTCCGCAGCTGACCCCACAGGTCTGCCAGTCCTGGCCCAGCCCTCCTGCCCCATCTGTCCACTGCTGGCTGTTCTCCAGAGCTGGTTCAGCAGGTCCTAATGCCTGGCCTGGAAGTGACCCTCACCCACCCACTTCTACACCCCGGGCCACCATTTCCCCAGTGGGGAGTGCTATCAGCCCCTGTACCTGGGACTCTCTCTGTCTCCTTATCTCTGAAGAGGAAATGCCTGGACAGTCATGGTGGTGGCTGTGGTGCGTCCCCACTGCTGGCCTCTAAGGTCTCTCCCAGTTCCTTTGTCTTTCCAACTTGGATGCTGACTCAGGTCTGGCATGACCTCTGAGCCTCCTCCTGCCATCCCTGCTGGCCCCCGGAGTCACCAACCCATGCCAGCCTGCGGGCGGGTCCCACCGGTCAGGTGGTGTGCTCAGGCCTCATATTCATCCTGGGCCCCCCTGCAGATGGACTGAAAGACCCCTTGGAGGATAATGATGAGGACCCTGAGGGCGTGTGCTGAGCTGTAGCCCCCACCCACTTTACAGGCAGGGAAATCAGGGCTGGAGTGGGAGCAGGAAGGATTGGGTCTCACTGTCCATGTCTCTCAGCTGGGGGGGAGGGCAAGTCAGACTTGGGGTTGTGTCATGGCACCACGGGGAGACCTGCAGTCTCTCAAGTCCAGCCCCCAGCAGGGACCCCAGCTCCCTGCAGGCTAGGCTGGGGGGTCCAGCTCTGCACACAGTGTCCAGGTATCTGTGCTCTCCACGCTGCCTCCCCGCCTCCCTTCCTGGCCAGGCACCAGTGAGACCAGGACTCCGTCTCTCCCCCCAGGCCTCACTTGCCTCACCTGCAGGACGAGGGGCAGACATGCTGGGGTCTCTGAAGGGTTAAGCAGTGGGGAGGGGTTGCAGGGGCCTTTCCTGCCGGCACAGCCCTGCTGCGGCCACAGCCCTCCCCCACCCCATTGTTCCTGCTCTGGAAAAGGCATATCTCCCCCATGAGGTCACCAGCCACCACTGGCAACTCTTGAAGCTCTCACGGGGAGGTGGGAGCTGCCTGGGCAGAGCAGCCTGTCCCCCTTCTCAGAATGTCCCCACCGCCTCCCCAGCTTAGCATCTTCCTTCTCTGTGGAAGCTGGGGCCGACCCAAACCTCCCGAGTCTTAGTTGGCCTTCAAGACCAAAAGCAGTGCCTCCTCCTCCAGGCAGCCTGCTCAGATGCCCTGAGTCTCCTGGTCGTAGAGTCACAGTGAGACCATGTCCTTGGCATTTAGACCAGTGACTCCAAGGGCGGGTATACAGCCAGGAGTCTGTACCCAAGTCCCGCTGTCCCATCTGAACGCCCTTCCCCCTGGGCACCTGATTTTTCCTTTGAACAAGGGAGCATGCGGGAGCCAGCCTGGCTTCCCCCGAGAGGCCAGTTTGCTTCTAGTCCCTGTGTCCAGGCCAGCCCTCTGTCACTCTTGCTCTGCTAGCCTCTCGCCCCAGGCCCTGATAACAGGAAGGGGAGGTGGTCTGGGAATGTGACCTCAGCCTATCTCATCCTGGCCCAGGGCTGCCCTGCTGGGGCTAGAGGCCAGTGGGTCCACAACCCCTGGGCTGCGTTCCCAGCTCACGTCCCCTGGGTCAAGTCCAGGGCTTGTCCAGGCTCCAACTCCCTGTGGTGCCAGTTTCCTGGTGGGGCACCATCTCTCAGCCCGTCTCTGTGGGGCCAGCAGCCGGCTGTACTCCCGGACACCCTAATCTTTCCTCATCTGTGTTGGCAGTGCATTCATACGTGTTAAGTCACTTCAGTTGTGTCTGACTCTTTGCGACCCTCTGAATTGGCCAGGCACCTCTGTCCATGGGATTCTCCAGGCAAGAATACTGGAGTGGGTTGCCATGCCCTCCTCCAGGGGATCTTTCTGATCAGGGATGGAACCCGTGTCTCTTATGTCTCCTGCATTGGCAGGAAGGTTCTTCACCACTAGCACCACCTAGGACACTCTCTTTCTCTAGCTCTCTGCCATATCCCCATGGACACAGGACTCCCCCTGGGCCGACAGCTCTGCGTCTAATTAATGAATGACTGAGGGGTCCTTGTCCCCCGCTCCAGGGCAGGCCCTATGTGAACTCTGGTGCCTGGCAACCATCCCAGGGTGGGGCAGTGCCCGGCAGCACCCACATGGCTGACCGTGTCCGTCCTGTCTTCCCACGCCCTCCCTTCTGACCCTTCGTCTCTGATTTCCTGCTTTTGGCAGAAGGAGCTTCTAGATTCTTTTCCTTCTGCTTGGGCTGGGGAAGGGGCAGAGGCCCAGCCCCGCATGCCTTGTGGCCCCACTGGTGGCAGAGGAGGGGCGGCCCCTGCCCTTCTGGTTCTGGTCTGAGATCCTTCACTGATTTCTGGGACCATTTATTCTTTTATTTTGGTAAAATACACATAAAATGAAATTCACCATCCTAACCATTTAACTAACTGATTTAGTTATTTGACCACACCGTGCAGCATGCAGGGTCTTAGTTCCCCAAGCAGGGATGGAACCCCTGCGCCCTGGATTGGGAGTGCGGAGTCTTGACCACTGGACCACCAGGGAAGTCTCCTGCTTAACCATTTTCAAGTGGACAGTTCAATGACTTTAATTACATTCTCAGCATTGTGCAGCTGGCACCACCACCTCCAGAACCTTGCGTCTTCCAGGCTGCAGCCCGCATCATGAAGCGCTGACTCCATCTCCCCCAACACCATCCCTCCAGCTCAGGGTTGGCATCAGAGCCAGGAGCTCCCCGGGGCTGCACTGAGTTAGCCTCCCTATCACTGGCCTGTGCACACCTGTCAAAGGGGCTCGAGTGCTTGTCCAGCGCTGATGTCCCTGGCGGATTAGAACAGGAACACCTCAGTACAGAGACCACCTTAGGAGTGGATGCACCCTTAGGAGGAAATTTACCTGGTCAGATGGGTGGACATCACTTGGCTGGTGCTGTAGGTGCAGGAGGCAGAGCCCAGAGGGTAAAAGTGCGGCCCTGGAAAACAGAACGGAGTGTTAGAAGCCTTTGTCATAAATGCTTTTCCCTGGTCTTCTCAGGCCAAATCAGATTGGTTTTTTGTTTGTTTGTTTTTTATGCAAATATGTAATTGTGAGTAGCCTTAGACTTTGACTGAGCTGGTCGCTATGGCTAGTGGACTTCATGGAAAGAGGCAGCTTAGTGTCAGGGCACTCTGTGGAGTGGGAGAGAGTGGTGGTGTCCAGAAAGGAGGACTGCTGATCAGAGTTCAGGGCTGCAGCTCTTCCCGTATGGTTCTCCAGGTTACCTTGTTGCTGGGGTGGTTGGAGGGCTTGGGGGCTGAACACCCCACCTGGCCCTGCTGACTGCTCTGGGGAGATGTTGTGACCGGGTTCAGGTCAGCTTGTCTTGGCCCAGGACGTCCAGAGGGCTGTTAAGCAGAGGTCCAGCTGTTGCTGGGTTCATGGTCCCCACCTGGGGGCCTGAGGGGCTGAGAGTGGAAGTGGGATAGCACCCTCTGGGAGGCCAGTCTGGGGGTGAGTTTACCCCTGTGCCACTCTGCTCAGTCTCGATGACAGGGCCATGAAGCTGGACCGTCTGGGGGTGAGGTTGTGTCTGTGGTGGGTGCTGGCACCCACAGCCATCAACTCTGTCCTGGGCTGGGGTGGGGGGTGGGCAGGGCCAGGTCACCGGGGCCCAGTGGATTGAGGAGCAGAATGGGCAGAGGTGGCTCCAGGCCGGGGGCTGCTTTCAGGGTTACCAGTACCCTCTGGGCTGCTAGCTGGGCTTTCCTGGCCCAGCTTCCTCTCAGGCCCCTGGGAAAGGCTGAGAGGGCTGGTTTCTGGGTGATGAGCCCTGAGCTGGGACACTTGGCATTTCCCCAGTCTCTCCAATCCCAGCATTGCTGCACTCTGTCAGGATGGCTTTGGGGAGGCTTCCAGGAGTAAGTTGTGGATGCGTGCCGTGACTTGAAGGGATGCGTGCTGTGGTTCTCCTGGGAGATACGATGGGGGACATGGCCACGGCCCCAGTGGGTGTACAAGGATGTCCAGGAAGTGGAAGTTGGGCAGGAGGGAGATTTAGAGAGCTAGACCTCAAAATCAGCCGTGCTGTCTGTTGACTAGAGACATAAAGTCTTACAAAGGAGAGAAAACAAGTGGGGAGGTTGTCATGACCTCAGTGTTGACCCTGGGCAGCGGGGAGGGGGGTGTGGGGGGCGGCTCTGCAGGGCGAGTCCTGTGACATGTGCAGCACGAGAGCCCCCTGCTTGGTGCAAACAGAGCCCGTCGTAGGTCAGACTCGGGGCTCCCGGGGCAGGTGACCTGTCCTGCACTGAGCATGGTTGCTCACGCGTGGAGGGAGGTGGGCAGCCTCCTGAGGTGACAAGCACCGCACCCATGGCGGGGAGGCTCGGGGCAGTGGCCAGGGTGTGGGGCTGGCTGTCGCTCACCGAGCGGCCCTGATGACTGTCCCGTCTCCTCTGCAGCCTGCCTGTTCCGGGTCAACGCGCTCTCCCTGGTCTACCTGCTGTTCCTGCTGCTGCTGCCCTGGTTCCCGGGCCCCTCCCGGCACAGCATCCGAGGTAAGGGTGGGCAGGGCTCGGTGGGGGTGGGGTGTGGATTCTGGGGTCTCAGAGCTCTTTCTCCAGATGCCTGGGGCAGGGGAGAGTTGGGGCCGTGGCTGAACCGGGCAGGGGTTATGTTCTCTGTGGTTGAAGAGCCACTGGTAAAGGATGAGTGGTCCCAGTTTCATTTTTCATGGTGGACCCTTGGCTGTTTCAGATCTCTGTTCTGATCTCCTGTTGCAGGGCCCATGCCATGTTCCCCTGGCCATGGGTTGAGCCACCTTCCTGCCAGGTCCCTCCCCTGACCCCTACCCGGTTCCAGCGCTGACCTTGCAGCCTGTCTGCCCAGAGCGGCTCTGGCCAGCCCTTAAGTCCAGCCACCTTACCAGCGCCCCTGCTCCACTGTGGACTCAGGCTCCATCCATGTGTGCTTGGAGGTCTATGGGGCAGTGGCTTTGCTCTGACCACCTTGTTGTCAGGGTAGCTGGGGGCCCGGTGGTGCCCACCTAGTTCTGAGCTCCTAGAGTGTGGCCTTTGAGTCCACTAGGCGGACAAGATGGGTGGGAAAACCTGTCAGGGTGCCTTTGCCCCCAGGGCTGTCTGCACAGTGGGGCCCAGAGAACTGGCTTGTCTGAGAGGAGTTGAGAGCGGAGAGGATCCCTGAGTAGGAGGGCACCCTGGCCCCTGTCCTGTGGAGCAGGACAGGTCCCTGTGAAGGGGGACACAGACCTGCAGGCCAACAGTGCGGGCACATGGTTGAGGAGCCCCTTCAGGCCAGGGTCCCACCGGCCGCTCTCTGGGTACTTCTGGGTCAGCTTTTGTCCTGGCTTTTCAGTAAGGACAGGTGCAGCGGATGGCTCTGTGCCCTGTGGGCAGGGAGGCCCTTAGGTTTCCCAGAGTGAAGAGAGAGGCCCAGGCTTAAAAGAGGGTTCCCAGGGAGCAGGTTGTCAGTGGTGTGACCCCCACCCCATTCCTGACAGAGGTTATGGAAGAATAGCCTGGTGGTCCAGGGGATTGCCAAGACTGCTGTAGGGAGCCAGGCCCATGCCTGCTGCTCCTGGGAGGTGCTGGCAGCAGGCTGGCTGCCCGGGACCTCAGGTGTGTCCTGTGGCTGCAGAGACCACTTCACACCGAGCAGCCACCTGCAGGTCCCTGCTCCAAGTCTGGGGGTCAGAGTCCAGCATGGGCTTCTTGGGGTAAATACCGGGCTGGTCCCTCCTGGGGGATCTGGGGAGAATCTGGTTTCTGTTTCCAGCTCCTCAGCTCGGTGCCCCTTCCCCATCATCCAGGTTAGCAATGGACAGTTGATCATCACCCCCGGTCGCTCTGGGCCCTCCTGCCCCCTCTCCACGGTTGGGACCCTGGAGTGAAACGGCCTGCCCTGGGTGGGGGTGGCCAGGAGCAGCCCCTGTTTAAGATTAGCTGCTTGGCACTCCTGGTTCCCCTTTGCTGCATCAGGAAATGTTCACAGGGTCCCAGGATTGGGGTGTGGACTCTCCTGGAGGGGTGTCATCCTGCCTCCCACAGGGTGACAGGTCCCCCTCCCCAGCCTGTGGTGTCTGGTGGGAACCCCCAGGTCAAGCTCTCTGCTCCCATGGGCACTGGTATGGGGGGTGGGGGTGGGGCGGCCTGACTGTGGAGTGCAGGGCCCCACACAGGTGTAGGGCTGGGAGCCACGGGGGACCCCAGGCCACACCCCTCCACGGCTGGCTGTCCCAGCCCTTCCCCAATCCCCAGCTCAGGCCAGCCTGGGGAGACTGCAGGCAGTCCAGGCGCCCCCCTCCTCTGTGGACCCTGTTCCCAGGGTCTCAGCTCTGAACTGTTTGTTCCATCATATTTCATGCCCTGCAGTGATGGGGAACACTTTCTTCTAATTGGCACTGGGAGAAGCACAGGCTCTCAGCCAGGGCAGGAGTCCAGAGTGGGGAAGGGTCAGGGTGCTGGGAAGACATGCCTGCCTGACCTTCCTCTGTCCATCTGTCCGGCCTCAGAGGCCCTTCAGGGTCAGAGAAGCTGCTGGGTTTTTCCGGGTGGGAGAGAGGAAAATGTGAGGCCCGTCCATGCCTGAGCGCCTGGCCACAGGGTCACAGTAGTGTGCAGCTGGGCCTTGGCGCCGGCTCTGGGTGGAAGGTCTGAGGCTGCCTGGGTCCCCTGTGGGTGCTGATTCCTGGCTCTATCCTCATGTGGGTGTCAGCTTAACACCAGCTCCCTGTGCTGGGCAGAGAGGTGCCCAGTTCAGTGCGTCCTCAGGAAAGTTCCAGCTCTTCCTCAGTCACGTTGCCAGCACCATGGGCTACGTGCCCCAGCAGGGCACAGCCACAGCAGAAGTTTCAGGGAGTCCCGAGGGTCAGCTCCCATGCCCTGATTAATAGGGACTTGAGGAGACAGCCCCTGCCTTAGAGTAACACCTGGCCCTGCAGCTGCTGTCCGGAGAGGGTGACTGCCCTGGAGTCCTGAGCTCTGCTCTGACTTGGGCGCCATGGACAGGAGGGCCTGGCAGGCAGGCCTCGTTCATGTCACAGAATGGCGCACCAGGAGGACCCTGTGCTCATTGGACGAGGGGATGAGAGGCTCTGTCGTCCTCCCAAGAGCTGTGCCCTCCTGCCTGTGGGCAGACAACATGCTAGGCATGGCAGAGCAGATTCCCAGGGCCTCGAGCTCAGGCTCTGACCTCCCCTGGCCCTGTCCCTCTCTGCCTGCCACCTCCAGACCATCCTCCCTGTGACAGGGCCTTGGACGAGTAGGGGACTCCTCTTCCCTTGGCACCCTTCACCCAGTTCATGTTGGGAGGGTGAGGTCAACCAGCAGCTCATCGTGGTGTCAGAACTGGGCCCGGGTGGGCACCACAACCACAGGGGTCCCAGGCTGCCCCAGAACAGGGTCGTGGGAGTGGGGCTGTCTTGGAGTATTTGGAGACTGAGTGGTTAGATCAGGAAGGTTTGGGGCTTGAGCCCCAGTGCCCACTCTGGTCAGATGCTCTCTGCACCCCAACAAGTTCCCTCTCCTCCACGCCAGAAGCCCCAGCCTCCCAGCCCCATTTCCTGCTTTTCCAGAGATTCTGGCCTGAGCGGAGCCCTGGCTCCTTCAGGAGGAAACGCTTCTGTGTGACCCGCTCCCCTGCACAACAGAGGTGGGGGTTGCTTGCCCACAGAGGCAGGGCTCCATCCTTCCACCACTCTCCCTGTGCCCTGCAGGCTTCACATGACCAGATGAGTGACCCCAGATCGAGGGGAGAGGCAGGCAGGGCTTCCAGCTACTGCAGTGGGTGGCCCAGGACCCCCACATACCACCCCACCCTCTCAGGAGCCCCATACCAGCCTGACTGCCTTCCACCCTCTGAAGTTAGAGCTGCCCCCTGGCCTCGCCCAACACTGCTGTCAGCCATCCCACTACCCTCTCATCCTCCATCCATCATTCCATTTATCCACCCATCCTCCCACCCACCCATTCACTTGTATATCCATCCTCCACCTGTTGATCCATCCTTCCATCCATTCAACCACCTCTCTATCTTTCTATCCATCCATCCATCCATACCCATCCATTAATCTCTCTGTCCTCCTATCTATCCATCCATCGTTCCCACCATCCTTCTTCCCATTCATCCATCTCTCCATCCTCCCATCAGTTCCTCATTTACCCATCCATCCATCTTCTCATCCATCCAATCCATTCATCTGTCTATAATCACAGCTGCCCATCCATTTATCCAACTTCCCATCCTCTGTCTTCTCATTGACCTTCTGCCATCCATCCCTTCTCTAATCTGTTCATTCATCCATCTATCCATCTCCCATCCATTCCTGCGATACATCCTCTCATCCATCCAGTGTATCTTCCCCTCCCTCCATCCATCATGTGAATTCCTGGGATACAGTCACCTCTAGGAATCTGAGGCTTTGTTCTGTGGGTAGGTTTGATAAGCCATGTGGTTGAGTGTTGGGCAGGGTCTTCCCTGCATGGTGCATGCTTTCAGCCCACATGGGGGGTGATGCATTACCATGCTGCCAGGGCCAAGTAGCAACACAAATGTTTGCTGGATATGTGACCAGACCTGAAGGTGGCCCCCAGCCTGAGGGGGCCTTTCCTTCTTGGGCTGGCTCTACCCCCCATGCCCCATGCCCCAAGTAGGGGGCGAGACTCAAGCACTGGCAGGCTGGGTGTGCTGTACTCCCCTGATTCCTTGTTGTATGACTATGGGCAAGTGGCTTCATCTCTCTGTGCCCATTTCTTTTTAAAGTGAGGTCGTCATAGTCTGGTACCATGGGGCAGCTGTGAGCAGTCAGTGGGATGGTATAGGAGGGGTGTGCTGCCTAAGTTTTCTGCTGACAGACCCTGGGTCCATGCTAGGCTGGTGGATACAGCCTGGCTCGGGGCTGACAGCCAGGGCTGACTGGCCTTGACTGGTCTCCTCCTCCCCATACCCCCGCAGACCCAGCTGTGTGCTGGCCTTACCCCTGCCCACTCTGCCTGCAGGTCACACTGGCCGCCTCCTCCGAGCCCTGCTGGGCTTCAGCCTCCTCTTCTTGGCTGCCCACCTTACCTTCCAGATATGCCTGCATACTGTGCCCCGCCTGGACCAGCTTCTCCTGGACTCACCAAGCTGTGAGTCACTAGGGGGCCTGGGGGGGATGCTTGAGGGCAGCAGGCCTTGGGGAGAGCCAGTGGTTCCCTGAGCCACCAGAGGGCCTGGGCAGGGTTGGGCACTCTTTGGAAAGGTCAGCCAGCCTCAGGGCCACCCTGCCTCACCCAGGCTTTTTCTACCTCTGAGTGTCTATCCATTGTTTATATCCAGTGCAAATGGGCCCAGGTTAACTGCCCCAGTGACAGGGGCTGGGCTGAGCACTGGCAGCACTGAACAGAGCCTGGTGTCTGGCTCACCGGACAGCCCTGGTCTTCTCAGGCCCCACCTGCTCACATCTTCCTCCTGAGCCTTTGGAGGCATAGAGGCTAGGCTGGGGGGACAGGGGTGCCAGCAGACCTGGTGAGCTGCCTGCCCACCGTCCTGTACCCTTTCACCCTGTGGAGATTCTTCTCCAACTGGCACCCAGCCCTTCCACCTCCACTGACTCCAGCACCCCAGTGTGCAGATGAAGGAGCCCTGGGCTCCCATCTCCACTGCTCAGAGAGGGGTTTCCCACCTCCATGTCCCACCTGGATTGTGGCTGGCAGGATATCCCACCCAGCTTCCCATTTTCATTTTGTGAAGATCATGTGTCTCCCACAGCTTAGAGACTGGAAGTCAGGTGCCTCGAGAGCCCTCTGGTCCTGGTGGCTCTGAGACCAGGCTTCCCATGTGGGCTCCCCTGCCTCCCAAGGAGCGGTCGGCTTTGGCCAGCAGACCTAAGAGCCCCCAACAGACACACAGCTTCCAGCTGGGATGTGAGCCCCATTCTGCCTGGCAGAACTAACAGGCCTCTGACCTATGAGACTTTCCCTGGCTGGGCCTCAATTTCCCCACCAGCATAGGCAGCATTCTCGAGTATCCCTGAATACCTGGGGACCTGTGGCTTGAGGGATGGAGGGCCTCTTGGCCACAAGGAGGGGGTTTCTTGACGACCACCTGCCTGACCTGGATCCCCCACGTCTCTCTGCAGGCAGCCCCTGGGACACCATCACCTGGGACACCATCTCCCGGCATATTGGGGTCACGAGGTGAGAGTCCTCAGTCTCCCTCGGGGATTTCCTGGGCCTGAGGTGAGGGTCTCCAGCTCCTGGGATGCCCCCACCAGCCCCAGCCCCCCTAAGCCCACCGTGGGCTCTCCCTGCCCTCCACAGGCTGGACCTGAAGGACATTCCCAATGCCATCCGCCTGGTGGCCCCTGACCTGGGCATCCTAGTGGTCTCGTCCCTGTGCCTTGGGGTCTGCAGGCGCCTCACGAGGACAGCCCAGCGCAGCCAGCACGTCCAGGAGCCGGTGAGGGCTGTGGGGCACCCCGGGTTCCAGCCATTTGAGGACCGTTGTACGTCCTCTTTCTTTCTTTTCTTTTCTTAAACAAACGTGGACGTTTTAGTTGTAGAAGCCTGTATGTGCCCACTGTGGAGAGACATGACACCAGTGGAGAGGTCAAGTGCATGTCTCAAGGGGCACTGGCATCACAGCGCATGGTCCCAGCACGTGCGGGGGCTGCAGGCAGCATCTGCCCCAAGAGCTGCTCCTATGGAGGGTCTTCGAGGCTGCAGGCCACAGGGAATCAGTGGTGCTGGTAGGCCGTGTGTGCTGGCCGTCAAGGAGCACCTGGGGACTGATGGATGGACTGACAGACGGATCTTTGAGGAGCCCCACCCACAGCGAGGGCATCGGTGGGCCTGTGTATGGGGCAGAGGCTGTGTAGCTGGAGACCTAGAGCAGGGCCCTGCATCAGAATCCTTTGGGTCCCACCCTGGGTCTTCTCTCCGTGTCCTCTGGTTGAAGGCTCAGCTCTCCTGTTCCCACATGAGGGCTGAAGTCTTGAGCCCCGTTTGGGTCCCACACTTGGCCTCAGCCTCTGTTCAGTAGGACCTGGTCTCCAGGGCTCGGTAAGGTCTGTGATATAGGGTCCCTGCCCAGGAGGCGGTGGGGGACACAGGCTCACACCCTTAGCCCCAGTGTCCTCTGGTCAGGCTGCTGATGCTTGTGAAAATGAGGGCCTCAGTCCCCAGAGAGGGGGTGCTTCCCATTGTGGGCTGGGGTGGGGCTCAGGCTGCAACTGACTGTCCATCTCCTGAGTCCTGGGGGGCAAGGCTGGCACCCCTATTTCACAGAGGAGGTGGGGCCTGGAGGTCAAGCGGCTCTTCCAGGTACTTGTGGGGGTGGAGTGGGGGCTGGGGCAGCCCCCTGACTGGCTGGCTCCCTCCATCCCTATGGCGCGTGGCACTGGCAGGCACAGGGGCCAGAGCAGCCTCTGGTTTCCTCGTTAGCAGAGCCAGGGCTTCCAGGAACAGCTCCGCCGGGGAGGGGCTGACTGGTTCCCCATGCCTGGGGCAGAGGGAGGGGCCAGCCCCCCACTCCACGCTGCCCATCACCCCTCGGACCTCAGAGCAAGGCATCACAGGCACCCAGCATTTAAGGTCTGAGGCAGAAGCAGGCACAGCGCCCCTTGTGGACGACACCACCTGGCTGGGACATAGCGCATGCATCCATGTACATGCGCCCATCCCAACTTGGCAAACATGTATCCATGCCTGTCCTGCGTTTCAGATGGGCTGTGGTGAGGGGTGTGGCCTGGGGCACTGGCCGAGGCAGGCTGGATGCTGCTAGCGGCCCCCAGCACCTGTCCTTTTGCCCAGCAGCTGCTTCTGTTCTTCCCACACCCAGAAGCGCTCATTTTCCACGGCAGCTTTCCCAGGGCTGGGGCCAGGCTGTGGGTGGAGTGAGCTCAGGCCTGGTCACAGTGCCTTTCAGGGCTGACCCCGCACCCTCGTTCCAGGACATAACAGGGGGACCTTGGGTACTTCTCTGACCACAAGGCTGGGCCTCCTGCCCTGGCCTGTCCCCTCCGCACTAACAGACACGGCCCAGTAGCACTCCCTGGGGCCTGCCCAGCTCCCCACCTACGTTTGACAGGCAGAAGATGGATTCAGAGAGGTTAGGGGGCTTGCTGAGGCTGCCCAGCTGGGAGATGTGGAGCTGGGGTGTGACTAGGGCTCCTGGCTCCCCCATGCTCTCAGCCTGGACGCCAAGGGCCGCCTTGGCCAGGGCAGGTGAGGCACAGGCCAGCGCCCATGTCACAGGTAGGGACCCAGGGCCTGGGCTTCCAACACAGAGGCTGTTCTTTCTGCCTCCTTCCGGCTCCCCGATTCCAGGAAACAGTCTGTTCTGGGAAACCGTGAGGCAGGGCCAAGGAGACAGGCCCTGGTGGGTCTCCATGCCTGCGGACAGATGAGGCCAGAAGGGCTGGCCAGGGACACCCAGGAGGCCCACCTCACTCTGCAGAGTGAGGGCAGAGAATGCCCACAGGCAACAGAATGAGAGTAGACTGTCCCCTGGGCGCGGTCTCCCCTGGCAGTATGACCTGAGTCCTTCCACCCCCAAGCCTCCATTGCTGTTCTTATAAGGAAAGTGCTGTGGGCCAGGAGTAGGGTGTGGAGCTGCTCTGTGATTGTAGAGTGAGGGGCACCTGTGGCCCTGCCATGTGTCCCCACTGGGGCGCTCTCAGGCCAGGGGCATGGGGCACGGATGCACGAGCCTGTGGGCTGGGCTGTCCTCAGGGCCCCTGGCACAGGTGGGAGATAAGGAAGATGCACCTGAGGGGCACCTGGGTCATCTGAGTGCCAGGCCTTGGCAGGAATGTGTCACTGCCTCAGTGGGCCACCTCCAGGAAGGCCTCCAGGGCTGCAAGGCTCTGGGAAGGTGGTGGGCAGACCAGGCATGGAGGGCAGCACTGCTGGACACAGGCTGGCGGCCCTGTGACCTCAGAGGGCCAGCAGTGGGTGTGGAGGGGGGCCAGGGAGATGGCCATGGGGGTGGGCTCCTCCTCCCCCCCTCCCCCACCACGTACCTGACCTTTGCTCTTCCCATGACCTTGGCAGGATGATGACAGTGAGGAAGCAGACGCTGGCTCCCTGGGGGAGCTGCAGGAAGCCCCTGCACTGTCCCCCACGCGGAGATCTCGGCTGGCTGCCCGGTTCCGGATCACAGCGCACTGGCTGCTCGTGGCAGCTGGGCGGACGCTGGCCATCGTGCTGCTCGCACTGGCAGGTATCCAGTGGGCAGGGGGCTGGGACCCCACCTCTGATCACCACACTAGGAGGGGTCTCAGCAGCCAAACTCCCCACTGGCCAGCGAGACGGTGGTCAAGCCACCCCACCAGGAGTGACCCTGTGTGCCCTTGCTGGCCCGCAGGCATCGCCCACCCCTCAGCCTTCTCCAGTGTCTACTTCCTGCTCTTCCTGGCCATTGGCACCTGGTGGGCCTGTCACTTTCCCATCAGCCCCTTGGGCTTCAACACACTCTGCGTCATGGTGGGCTGCTTTGGCACCAGCCATCTCATCTGCCTCTATTGCTACCAGACACCTCTCGCCCAGACCACTCTCCCACCTGCCAGCATCTGGGCCAGGTGAGGGCTCGCCCCAGGCACTGCCCTGCCCTTGTCCTAGCCCTGCCCACCCGGCACCCGTGAACCCCTCGCCACAGTCACCGACACGCCTTTTCTGGGCAGGGTGTTTGGTCTCAAGGATTTCGTGGCCCCCACCAACTGCTCCAGCCCCAACATGCTGGTCATCAATGCCAACCATGACTGGCCCGTGTATGTGAGCCCCGGCATCCTGCTGCTGCTCTGCTACACGGTGACCTCGCTCCTGAAGCTCCACGCCCGCCAGCCTGCGGACCAGGTGAGCACCCAGGCCAGTGCCCTGCATCCCCCACCCCATCGAGCCAGGGCGAGGGGGCTGAGCCTCACCTCTGGTCTCCACAGAGGAAGGAGGCGGCCAGAGACGATGACGCACGGGAGGTGGAGTTGACCGAGGTGGACCAGTGGCCCCAGGGTCAGGCCAGGGTTGTGGCCATCAAGGAGGAAGGGGCTGCCCAGGTGAGGGGTCTGGACTGAGAGGTGGGGCCGGCACCCCCCTGCCCACGGGCTTCACTCATGGGCTTGGCTTGTCTACAGCACACAATGCCTGCTCCCACAACACCAGACCCCGAGGACAACTGCATCGTACACGACCTCACTGGCCACAGCGCCGTCCAGCAGCGGCCCTGTAAGTATATGTAGCCATGCAGTGCTGCCCCCTGGCGGCCTTTCCGTGTCAGCCTCTCTAGCTGCACCCCTCTTTGGGACTGCCCACAGACCTTCATGGCTCGGCTGGTAAAGAATCCACCTGCAATGCGGGAGACCTGGGTTCAATCCCTGGGGTGGGAAGATCCCTTGGAGAAGGGAAAGGCTACCCTCTCCAGTATTCTGGCCTGGAGAATTCCAAGAACTGTATAGTCCATGGGGTCAAAAAGAGTCGGACACAGCTAAGCGACTTTCACTTACTTACTCATTCTCTCACGGACCCGAGACCTTGCAGGGATCTCCCATGCCTGTCTGCCTGCCTCTCAGTCCCAGAGTTATTTGCTGCTCTGTCTTGGGCTGGCTCTGTGTCCCCAGGGCAGGTCTGGGTGTTTTTCCTGGGTGCTTTTTCTTTCTTTTCTTTTGCCCTAAGCCTCAATTTCCATTTTACAAAGCAGGGGATGAAGCTGCTGGCCTTGGGAGATGTGGGCACTCACAGAGCTGGAGGGACTGAGGCTATCTTGTCCACCCCATCCCTCTAGAGTCTTGAAAACCAAGGCTGGGAGGGGGGCGAGGATGGGCCAGCGTCCCACGATGCATTGGGAACAGGGTCAGACAGGAGCCTGGGCCCTTTTCTGCCCCCAGAGCCCCTGTGAGACTGTGCTGAGCACGGCTCCCCCCGCCCCCACCCCAGGCTGCGGCTCCAGCACTGTCTGCACTTGGGGGCTGAGTCAGGTGTGGGTGAGGGGCTCTGGCCTAATGATGTTGGAGCCTCCCCAGCGGGGGTCCTGCTTCACCTGTGACCCCTGCCCTCACCCTAGCATGCCCCCGGCTGGTTGAGCCAAAGGAGACGTCTCCGCTGCACGGCCTGGGTCACCTCATCATGGACCAGAGCTACGTGTGTGCCCTCATTGCCATGATGGTAAGGGCGCTGGCCTGGACCAGCTGGGGCTGGGCCTTCCCATGGGCTCCCACGGCGTTCCAGGAGAGGATGGTGGCCTGGTGCCTTGTCGCCAGAAGTGGATGGGACTGTGGCCTACCTGCTGGGCCACAAGCCGTCCAGGCCAGCCACCAGCCACATGGTTGTGTGTGTGTGCACGTTTGTGTGGTGGGTGGGTGGGCCAGCAGGGCGGGTTTGCTTTCCTGTTGGGGGCCCCCACGCCATCAGCCTGGGGAGCATGCGTGCTGCCCTGCTCCACCCCGGCCCACAGGTGTGGAGCATCACCTACCACAGCTGGCTGACCTTCGTGCTGCTGCTCTGGGCCTGCCTCATCTGGACGGTTCGCAGCCGCCACCAGCTGGCCATGCTCTGCTCGCCCTTCATTCTGCTCTATGGGCTGGCGCTCTGCTGCCTGCGTTACGTGTGGGCCATGGACCTGCAGACTGAGCTGCCCACCGCCCTGGGCCCTGTCAGCCTGCGCCAGCTGGGGCTGGAGCACACCCGTTACCCCTGCCTGGACCTGGGCGCCATGGTGAGTCCTCCCGGCCCTCACCTGTCTCCCAGTGCGGTGGGCATGCTGCAGCCCAGGGCCCGCGTCTGGCTATCACCAGGACCCCCTGGCCAAGCCCAGCATAGTTGCTCAGTTAGTGTTTTTCGAGTGAATGAGTGACGACCTCATGTTGCTAGGGGCACCATCCTGTGTCCTGAGACGGGCTCTGTGAGCACCGCATGTGGTCCCGGGTCCCAGTGAGTTTCTGTGCCCTCATGGTGTCCCCTTGTGAGACAGGTCACTGCACCTGGACATCCATGCCACCGCTGGCCATGTGGGAGGGCTGTGGGTTACACCTCACTATGTGAGTCTGCGGGCATGCAAGCATGCAAACACATGTGAGCCCGTGTTCACCTGTGGGTCTGTGCGCACACAAGATCGTGTGTGAGTAGGAGCCACCATGTAGGAGTGTGTGTGCGTTTGTATGTGAACTCGTGCCTGCGAGGAGGATGGCAGGTGGGGGGACACCTTCCCGCTGCAGTCTTGCCTCCGGCTCCCCTGCTTAGGCCCCTCAGTGATGCCGCCCCCCTCTCCCCAGCTGCTGTGCACCCTGACCTTCTGGCTCCTGCTGCGCCAGTTTGTGAAGGAGAAGCTGCTGAGGAGGGCACGGGTCCCCGTGGCGCTGACGGAGGTCACCGTGGCCACCACAGGTGAGTGGGTGGGAGGGCTGGGTGACTGGGGGGGAGCTCCTTGCCCACCTGCCTGGTCCTGATGCTGTGCCCCACCCACTGCAGAGCCCACACGGACGCAGATGCTGCTGCGGAGCCTGGGGGAGCTGGTCAGGGGCATCTACGCCAAGTACTGGATCTACGTGTGTGCAGGCATGTTCATTGTGGTCAGCTTTGCTGGCCGCCTGGTGGTCTACAAGATCGTCTACATGTTGCTCTTCCTGCTCTGTCTCATCCTCTTCCAGGTGTGGGGACACAGAGTTCAGAGTGGTGGGGGCAGGGGCATCGGGGAGCGTGGAGTCAGGGGGCTGGGGCCTCACGGCCAGCCTCACCGTGCCCGTTGGCCGGTAGGTCTACTACAGCCTGTGGCGGAAGCTGCTCAAGGCATTCTGGTGGCTGGTAGTGGCCTACACCATGCTGGTGCTGGTGGCCGTCTACACCTTCCAGTTCCAGGACTTCCCGGCCTACTGGCGCAACCTGACGGGCCTCACTGATGAGCAGTGAGTCTGGGGCGGGGCTGGGCGGGGGTGGGGGGTGTGGGACGCCGCTATGGGGGTCGTGCAACTGTGCTGACTCCTACCTCGCCTCCCCACCCAGGCTGGGGGACCTGGGCCTGGAGCAGTTCAGCGTGTCTGAGCTCTTCTCCAGCATCCTGGTCCCCGGCTTCTTTCTGCTCGCCTGCATCCTGCAGCTGCACTACTTCCACCGGCCCTTCATGCAGCTCACCGACCCTGAGCACCGGCCGCTGCCCGGTGCCTGCATCCCACGCTGGGTTCCTGGGTAGGCCTGCCCCCTGGGGCTGGGGGTCTGCAGAGGCTGGTGGCATCGGGCAGGAGACCCAGAATAGGGGTAGGGCCTCAGCCGTCACCTTTAGGTGCCCCACTGGGGTCACAGGGGTCAGGAGGTCAGCAGGCCCCATTCTCCCACCTGGTGGCTGCAGCTCCCACCTGGTGGCTGCAGCACCCACAGCTGGGGTCCCAGAGCTGGGGTGGGGGAGGCAAGAGAGGAAGGGGCTACAGGGCCACCCCAGGAGTTCGGGTGGGAAGGACACTCCAGGGCCCTGTCCTAGGCAGGACGCGGTGAGCCGGACCCCCCTGCTGCAGCAGGAGGAAGAGGAGGAGATGCCTAGGGACGAGGGGTTGGGCACAGCCAGCCCCCACCAGTCCACGCAGGTCCCAGAGGGTAAGTTCAAGGTGTCTGGACTTGAGTCCTGGAGCCCCATCTGCACGGGACAGGATGGCCCGGGCCCCTCCTCCTCACTGTCCATCCCTCCAACCCCCCCAGCCAGCAAGTGGGGCCTGGTGGCCGAGCGCCTGCTGGACCTGGCCACTGGCTTCTCGGATGTCATCACCCGCGTGCAGGTGCTGGTGCGGCGCCTGCTAGAGCTGCATGTCTTCAAGCTGGTGGCCCTGTACACTGTGTGGGTGGCTCTGAAGGAGGTGAGTATGGACATGCTCGCATACCCGCGTGGGCCCCCTGGGTGCTATGCGGGGAGGCGGGGCAAGGGGCCTGTGGGGAGGGTGCTGATCGGCCACCAACACCCATAGGTGTCGGTGCTGAACTTCCTGCTAGTTGTGCTGTGGGCCTTCGCCCTGCCCTACCCACGCTTCCGGCCCATGGCCTCGTGCCTGGCCACCGTGTGGACCTGCATCATCATCGTGTGCAAGATGCTGTACCAGCTCAAGGTGGTCAACCCCCATGAGTACGCCAGCAACTGCACGGAGGTACGTGCCACAGTGGAGGGGCAGGTGCAGAGGGCCTGGGTGGGGGTCCATCCCAAGGGTCAGCATGCAGTGTCCGCCGCTCCTCTCCCAGCCCTTCCCCAACAGTACGAACCTGCAGAAGACGGAGATCCGCCAGTCCTTGCTGTACCGCGGGCCTGTCGACCCTGCCAACTGGTTTGGAGTGCGGAAGGGCTTCCCCAACCTGGGCTACATTCAGGTGAGTGCAGCAGGCAGGTGGGCCGGGTAGGGGCGCTGCGGGGTGGGTGAGGCCTGACCACCCTCGCCCTTCAGAACCACCTGCAGATCCTGCTGCTGCTGGTGTTCGAGGCCATGGTGTACCGGAGCCAGGACTACCACCGCCACCGGCACCAGCTGGCCCCGCTGCCTGCCCAGGCCGTCTGCACCGAGGGCACCCGCCAGCGGCTGGACTGTGACCTGCCCAGCTGCCTCAAGTACTACGTGAATTTCTTCTTCTACAAATTTGGGCTGGAGGTGAGGCGGGGGTCAACCCTTGTCCCTTCCCCGGGTAGGGGCTCAGCCACATGGGTTCTTGGCACTGTCTGTGGGGCCTTTGCTAAGCAAAGGCTTGAGGGGATGGGGGGGTGGGGCGCGCAGACCATGGGGGCTGGGAGCCCCAGCTGGAGGTGGGCTCAGGCTTGGGCTCAACTCTGCTGCAGGATCCCCACCTCGATTTCCCCAGCATGGAGACATGTTTAGCCTCTCTGCTCCTCCAGGAGAGTGGCCTGGGCTGCTGCCCCCATCCTGGGCACAACACCCTCTGCCCACCAAGGCTGCCCAGAGGCAGAGCCAGGAGGACCCCCCCCCCCCCACTGCCACTGGCTCACTGTGTCCTCACCCTGGCCACTCCTTTCCGCTCTGCCACCCCCAGGTCTGCTTTCTGGCGGCCGTGAACGTGATCGGGCAGCGCATGAACTTCATGGTCATCCTGCATGGCTGCTGGCTGGTGGCCATCCTTACCCGCCGACGCCGGGAGGCCATCGCCCGCCTCTGGCCCAATTACTGTCTGTTCCTGGCGCTCTTCCTGCTGTACCAGTACCTGCTGTGCCTGGGTGTCCCCCCAGCCTTGTGCATCGGTGAGCGGGCCGCCGGCCGGGCACACAATGGGTGCCCTGCCCCTGGTGTGGTGTCAGGAGCCTTCCACCTGCACCCCCTCCCCCTCCATGGGCTCTGTGGGCCGCAGTCATTCCAGCTCTAGGGGGCAGTGCTGGCCCTTCGTTCATTGGTCTCCCTGAATCATTGTTTTCTTTTTGCCAAACATTTTATTTTGAAAAGTTTCAAATCATCAGAGAGGTTGAGAGTTTGGAAAACAGTCCAGGGAGCAGCCCTGCACTCCTCTTGGCTAGTGGGGGCTGTCTGGAGTTCACGTCCAGTATGCCCAATATGGAGGCCTCTATGCGCAGGGCGGTGACCACAAACGGCTGCCCATCCCTGGATGACACCTTGGTCTGGTGTGCCATCCAAGCTCAGCGGCCGCATCCTCAAGGCTGCGTCCCTGGTAGCTGCTGGCTCTGAGCAGGACCTGACAGGAGCACTTGGCCATCTCCTTCTATTGCCTTCCTGTTATGACCTTTCCGGAGTCAGGCCACAGGCTGGCAGAAAGCCCTGATCTTGGAATTGTGGACTCTGCCCCAGGCTTAGACACTGGTGAACACGTGGGCAGGAACAGCCCCCACCAGGGGAGTGAGCAGCCATCAGCCCTGCATGCTGAGAGGCTGGTGCTCGGTCTTGTGTGTGCACATCCACACCTGCAGACTCTCCCTGCTGCAGGCAGGCCTGCATGCAGTGGAGGTCGGTTCCGACTTCGGTTACTCCTGGCGCACTTGTTAAGTGGCTTCTCTGTGAGAGGAGCTTGGGTTTCTCTCCCTCCTGCTGTTTCCTGTGGTCCACAGGTACAGGGGTTTCTCTGGATGCCTTGTAATGTCCTGTGCTTCCTTTCACATTTGGAGCATCTCAGCGGTGCCCGTGGAGCCCCCAGGCAGGCCCTTCCTCCCTCAGTGTCTGTGGAAGGCAGATCCCTGGCTCGTGAAATGCCCCTTTTAGTTGACAGTCTGAGTTTTGACAGAGAACAGCAGAAGCACAATGGAGTTTGTAAACATCCTTCACTTAGTTTCCCTGATGTGAGCGTCAGCCTCTGACTCCACCTGGCACGGCGACCCAAGTTAAGAACCAGAAGAGGTGCAGGGCTCCGACACCGGGCAGAGCCACAGGCTGCCATGGCCAGCCCTGATGGCCCCTCCCCCTAGCTCTCTGTCCTAGGCCTCTGAGAAGACCCCTCGAGCTGGCCCCACGGTCTTCTTGGGCTTCTCTGTCTCTTGTCATATTGAGGCTTCCAGAGCACGAAGCAGTTGTCTCTAGAAACTCTCCACGCCGCACCGTCAGTTTTCATTAGACCAGTTTATGCGTCTTTGGCAAGAAATGTGCAGCTGCGAATAGTCCGTCTCAGGGCGTCACACTGGGGCCAGTGTATCCCATCACAGGTGGCGGCCTTCCACCACTGGGCCTGACACTGCTTGTCACTGTCATGTGTGTGGTTGTGGAAGAGACCTTGGGACCTGGCGAGGGTCTCGTTTCCATGTAAACCCTCACCCACTCAGGGGATTCATCCACAGGAGTGTCTGGTTTTCTTTGTCCCCTGTGATGCTCAGTTGGCATCTTCTCTAAGAGAGCTGTCCTCTCACCCTGCTGGTCTGTCCAGCTGTTTCCCTGTCCAAACAGATTCTGGGCCTTCATTCCCGGGCTTCTGCTCCTGCCTGTCACTGGGGCTTTGAGTTCACACAGTCCCTGCGCGGCCCTGGGACATGTCCTCACTTGGTTCTACGAGGTGCTGCCACCACAAGAGACCCCCTGCTCCCCCGCCCCAGGAAAGTGGCCCCTGCCTCATGGAGCCTGGTTCCTTTCACTGGAGAGTGAAACTCAGAAACCAAGACAAGGGCCATGGCTGTGTTGCTGCTATGAGTGTCGCTGCTCCAACACCCTCTCGCTGGACAGTCTTTAGTTAAGACACCATTTCTGAAATTACTCAGGGTGGCTCCATTCTCCCCCCCCCCCAAGGTGTGTCATGCACACCTTGTCAGGTTAGACCCCTTGTCAGCCTGTGCTCTGTCCTGGGCTCCCCCAGCAGCCTGTAATGTAGTAAAATTCATTCTTTGGTGCTGACCAGGGCAGGAGCTCTGTATGCCCCCCAGGTCCCTGCCTCCCACCTCCTCTTGCCATCAGCCCCCCACCCTGCTTCCAGTGACCACCTTGGTCTTTGTCCCTGTGGTTTGCTGTTTCTAGAACAGCATGTGAGTAGCATGGTTTAACCTCGGGCTCTGGCTTCTCTCATGAGACACTGTTCAGGGTCAAGGTGCACTGGGCTGTGGGCTAGATGCCGCTTGGCTTGCGACCCCTAGTAGGCAGTTCCATGCTTTGGATGCACCAGAGTGGGCTTGACCTTTCACCCTTGGATGGCATCAGGCCATCTCCAGGTCTGAGATGTCGGGGATTAGGTGCTATAGAGGTTTGCTCGTTCGCCAGTGTGCAGGTGTCTGTGGGGCCATGGTTTCTGTTTCTCTGGGGTGATCACCCCAGGTGGTCCTGCCAGTTCCCCTCTGCTCTGGTACTGGGCATCCGCACTATTTTCTTTTAGCCATTCTGACAGGTGCACAGTGAAGCCTCATTTGGGTCTACCTGGGCCATGGCCCACACGCAGGGGGCCTGCCCCACTCCCCTCAACCCCTGTGCCCCACCCACATCCCCCCACCCACCCAGGGTGCCTGGAGTGCATGTCCATGAGAACTGGGTTCCCTGGGCCTGTGTGCAAGATAGTGTGTATGAGTGACTCCTGGGGTTACTGGGGTTGGAGGTGGGTCGGGACAGTGGGTGACAGACTACCTCTGTCTACAGACTACCCATGGCGCTGGAGCCAGGCCGTCCCCATGAACTCCGCGCTCATCAAGTGGCTGTACCTGCCTGACTTCTTCAGTGCCCCCAATGCCACCAACCTCATCAGTGAGTCACCAGCCCCTCACGCACACACGCCACTGACAGCCATGCTGAGACTGTGCAGATGCCCATGGGATGGGCAGCGGGTGGGCACCGACCCTCCTCTCCAGCCAGCCAGGGGCCCATCGCCCAGGCCTCACCAGGCAGTCCAGTCCTGCCATTCCCTGTGGGGTCTGTGTCCCGTGAATGTACCCCATCCCACAGGCACATCTCACGTGTACACGTTCCACCACACAGACACGTCTGCTCCCTGGTGTGGGCACAGGTGTGCATGCAGGTGTGGACATAGGCGGACACGGGTGTGGAGATTGATGCCACATGGCATAGTCAGGCTCATGTTGGCCTCATTTCCTGATGCGTGTGGTTTGTGTGTGTAGATCTACATGTACACACAGAAAATGTACACAGGCATGTTCTCCAACACCCACGTGCACATCCACACGGTGTGTAGATGCTGGCATAAATACGCATGGATTTTCTGCTCAGCTGCCCACACACCCCATCACCCCAGGATAAGGGCCGAGCTGGCAGGAAGTGGACTGCACTTCCCAGGCGTGACAGTGGCCTCTCATTTGCCCACAGGTGACTTCCTCCTGCTGCTCTGCGCCTCCCAGCAATGGCAGGTGTTCTCGGCCGAGCGCACGGAGGAGTGGCGGCACATGGCCGGTGTCAATACTGACCGCCTGGAGCCGCTGCGGGGGGAGCCCAACCCCGTGCCCAACTTCATCCACTGCAGGTGGGGGTCTTAGAGGCTGTGGGGCTCCTGGGGCCGTGGTCCTGGGCTGCCAGGGAGGTGGTGGTGACCTGGGTCCACGGTGCCATCCACCCGGCAGGTCTTACCTCGACATGCTGAAGGTGGCCATTTTCCGCTACCTCTTCTGGCTGGTGCTGGTGGTGGTGTTCATCACAGGGGCCACGCGCATCAGCGTCTTTGGGCTGGGCTACCTACTGGCCTGCTTCTACCTGCTGCTCTTCGGCACCAGCCTGCAGCAGAAGGACACGCGTGCCCGCCTCGTGCTGTGGGACTGCCTCATCCTTTACAACGTCACTGTCATCGTCTCCAAGAACATGCTCTCTGTGAGCCTGGCCCCGCCCCGCCCCGCCCCGCCCTCCTGGCCCCGCCCCACCCGCCTGGCTCTGCCCCGCCCTGACACCCAGACTGACTCCTCCGCCCGCAGCTCCTGTCCTGCGTCTTTGTGGAGCAGATGCAGAGCAGCTTCTGCTGGGTTATCCAGCTCTTCAGCCTCGTATGCACCGTCAAGGGCTACTACGACCGTGAGTGGGCGAAGCGGGCGGCCGGGGCCCCGGGGGTGCTCTGTGACAGCCGCCTTACGGGACCCTGACCTGGACCGTATCCGTCCGCAGCCAAGGAGATGCTGGGCCGCGACCAGGACTGCCTGCTGCCCGTGGAGGAGGCGGGCGTCCTGTGGGACAGCGTCTGCTTCCTGTTTCTGCTGCTGCAGCGCAGGGTGTTCCTCAGCTACTACTTCCTGCACGTTCAGGCCGAGCTCCGCGCCACCGCCCTGCAGGCCTCCAGGTGTGCCGCCCCTCCGTGACTTGACTTGTCACCTAGAGGGAGAACCAAGGAGACAGACCCCCTGGGACCTTCTCAGGACCTTGGCGATGCGCGGTCTCGCCCCCCTCTTGGTTGTTGGCTGGACTGAGGGCACATCCCTGCTGGAAGGCCTTCCTAGCCCTGTGCTTTGGCTGCTCCTGTTCCTTCTTTCCTACCCTGTGATACTGGAGGTTCTAAGGGGGGCTCCCTCTCCCCACAGCAGGACAAGGTGGGTGTGGATGGGTAGGACTGAGCCCCCTGGGCCAGGCTGTAGCTAATGCCCAGCCTTGCTGCCCTACAGGGGCTTCGCCCTCTACAATGCTGCCAACCTCAAGACCATCGAGCTCCACCGTAGGGCAGAGGAGAAGTCGCTGGCCCAGCTGAAAAGACAGTAGGTGCCGTGTGGGCAAGGCCAGGGCTTTCCTGACTTGCCCAATGCTGAGCCACCTCCCCTTCTGCAGGATGGAGCGGATCCGGGCCAAGCAGGAGAAGCACAGGCAGGGCCGGGCCAACCGAGGCCGCCTTCAGGGCTCCCCAGACCCCGGCCAAGAGCCAGGTGAGTGTGGACAGAGCCTCAGTGCCCACATCCCATATGTCCACGCCCGCTGGAGCCGTGTCCGTGCTGTGTGGCGTCCCACGGGGCTTCTGGCCCATCCGCCCTGTGCTGTGTGGTCACTCTGTCCCTGCAGGCCACATGGCCGGACTGTGACTATCCGTCTGCACTTGTGGGCTGTCCTCCACCCCCCGTGGCACTTCATGTAGCCCCTTCATGGCCTAAGGGTTCCGAGTCTGTGTCCGCTGAGGGGCCGCCTGCGCCCCTCCCCACTGGCTCATGCGCACCCTGCCCCTCCACAGGGCCCGGCAGTCCAGGGGGCGCCTCCCCGCCACGACAGCAGTGGTGGCGGCCCTGGCTGGACCACGCCACAGGTACTGCCCCCACCCAGCCTTCCCTGACCACCCTCTCAGGGCCGCTGTGACTAGGCAGACCTCCCTCTTGCCCTGCGCTGACCTGGCCGGCACCTCCCGGGAGCCCTGCTCTCAGGCTTCACACTGAGCCTCTGGGTCATCAGGGGCCACGTCCCCACAACAGGCTCTGTGTGTCTTCTGCTTTCTAACTCTTGGCCTCAGAAGTCTGAATCTTGGCTGCTGGCTGGCAGTGTCCCTCCTTCCCAGTCCTGCCCGCTTGTGTTCCTCTCGTCCAGTCTGGTCTCGTCCCCCTGCTCTTGCTTGTGTCCTGTGCATGTGCCGCTGTCCCCCGGCCTGCCACTCCCTGGTTCTTGCCCATGGCTGTCCCTCGGGAGGGTGGCATGCAGGCCTTTGCCACAGGGTCACGGGCTACTGAGGGGCTCAAGCTGGCCAGAATATCCAAACTGTTACTGCATCCATCCCAAACCAAGGAGATGAAGTTGAGGGTCTGCGGGGAGGAGGGAGTGTGGCTGGCTCTCAGTGCCCCCCTTACCCGCAGTTATCCACTCCGGGGACTACTTCCTGTTCGAGTCGGACAGTGAGGAGGAGGAGGAAGCCCAGCCTGAGGACCCCAGGCCATCATCACAGAGCGCCTTCCAGGTGAGCATGTGGGCCTGACACTCCCTAGGCCGGGGGCACCTACCCAGGCCATTCAGACCTCCTGCACTCACATATGGGGGGAAGGCAGGATCTAGGGGTACAGGTCATGGGCAGCTGTGTGCCCCTCTGCCCACCTCTCCGGGCCCTGACTGACCACCCAGGCCCTGGTCTCTTGAGAAGGCTCACTGTTTGCTAGACACGCCCTTCCTGTCCACCTTTAGGCTCCTGTTCTTAGCATGGGGACTGGCACTGAGTGGTAGCCAGGACGTGCTGGGTGGGCTCATGCACCAGCCCCGTCTTCCCACCACAGCCCTCTGGGGATCTGATGGCCCCCACTCTGGCCTCCTGACCCCAGGCTGCTCCTGGATGGGAGGCAGAGGTGGGTAAATGGGATCCCATGGCAGGGGCGGCAGGGTGCTAACCCAGGGCCCTGCCTGCAGATGGCGTACCAGGCGTGGGTGACCAATGCTCAGACGGTGCTGCGGCAGCAGCGGCGGCAGCAGGCCGAGCAGCTGCGCACAGGTGAGTCTGGCTGTGGGCAGGTTGTGGGGTGGTGGGGAGGCAAAGCGCTGATCAGATCCCCTGTGCCTAGGAGGCGACCCAAGCCAGGAGGCAGGGCCGGCAGAGGGCTTGGAGGACGAGGTGACCGGTGAGTTGGAGCCAAAGGCTGGGGTCAGGGAGCGGGGGTTACCAGCTGACCGCTCCTTTACGCCCTCCTGCCCCATCCTCGCCGCAGGCCGCAGCCATGTGATGCAGCGAGTGCTGAGCGCTGTGCAGTTCCTGTGGGTGCTGGGCCAGGCGCTGGTGGACGGGCTCACGCGCTGGTTGCACGACTTCACGCGGCACCACCGCGCCATGAGCGACGTACTGCGCGCTGAGCGCTACCTGCTCACACAGGAGCTGCTCCGGGTGAGCGGGTTGCCCCGGCCCCGCCGTGCCACGCCCCTGGGTCCGCCCCTACACCGACTCCCCGCCCACAACCACATGCCCCGCCCCTGCACAGACACCTGTCACGCCCCCGCCCCGGCCCAAGTCAGTTGACCTGAGCCCCTGGCTGCCCTGCAGGGCGGAGAGGTGCGCCGGGACGTGGTGGACCAGCTGTACGCCAGCGAAGCTGAGGCGGCCCGTGATGCGCTGAGCACAGCATCGAGGTAGGAGCGGGGGTGGGCGGCTCAGGACAGCGGGGACTCACCTCACGCGGCCTGTCCAGCCCCAGCGCCTGAGCTGCTGCACAGGGGGCGGTAGCCGGCTGGGCCCTTGTCCACCAGAGACCCAGAGGCCCTCCAGGACTGCCCCAGAGCCCCGGCAGAGCGCAGGGCGCCTTGTGAGCTGCCCTTTCCCGCAGCGGGCTGGGGGTGGAGGAGCCGCTGAGCAGCATGACCGAGGACACCAGCAGCCCCCTGAGCACTGGCTACAACACCCGCAGCAGCAGCGAAGAGGTGGTCACCGAGCCCGGGGCTTCTCTGCGCGGCTCTGGGGAGCTTCCCGCCGGCGGCCGCGGCCGAATGCGCACGGCCAGCGAGCTGCTCCTGGACAGGTGAGCAGGGAGGGGTGCACAGCGGGTGGCCCCCGAGGCTACCAGCCTGTGCAGGTGCTGGTGCCGTCTAGGCCTCTGCACCAGGCCTGAGCCTGGTCCCCCGCAGGTGCGTGCACATTCCGGAGCTGGAGGAGGCGGAGCAGTTTGCGGCAGGGCGGGGTCGGGTGCTGCGGCTGCTGGAGGCCATGTACCAGTGCGTGGCTGCCCACTCGGAGCTGCTGTGCTACTTCGTCATCGTCCTCAACCACATGGTCACTGCCTCAGCCACCTCCCTCGTGCTGCCCGTGCTGGTCTTCCTATGGGCCATGCTCTCCATCCCGCGGCCCAGCAAGCGCTTCTGGATGACAGCCATCATTTTCACCGAGGTGGGCGTCGCTGGAGGGGTGCGGGTGGGGGTGGGTGCAGGCACCACGCTGACCTCTCTCTCCTGCAGGTCACGGTGGTCGCCAAGTACCTGTTCCAGTTTGGCTTCTTTCCCTGGAACAGCCACGCAGTGCTGCGGCGCTATGAGAACAAGCCCTACTTCCCGCCGCGCATCCTGGGCCTGGAGAAGAGCGACAGCTACGTCAAGTATGACCTGCTGCAGCTCATGGCGCTCTTCTTCCACCGTGCACAGCTGCTGGTGAGTGCTCACACACACACACCTGCACTCATAGGTCGACACATGGGAACACACACACACACATGTGCACACACACAGCCATTTCAGGAAGCAGGCCGGACACAGTGGGGCCCAAGGAGGGCCTGGCCATCTCACCCAGCCCTGCGTGGCCGTGCCAGCCTCACCAGCCTGCCTCCCTCCACAGTGCTATGGCCTCTGGGACTATGAGGACCCCCCACTGTCCAAGGAGCACGACAGGGGCAGTGCCAAGGAGAAGGGGGCTGAGGAGGAGCCAGCCCTGCCCACACCCCAAGAGGAGCCAGGAGGGGCAGCCAGGCCCCCTGCTGAGGACAACGGCCAGGCGGAAGCCAAGGGTGGGCCCCTAGAGCCCGGCGACAAGAGGCGCATCAGCCTCCGTTTCAGGAGGAGGAGGAAGGAGAGCACAGAAGCCAGAGGACAGGCCGTTGGTATGAGGGCCCACCTGGTGGAGCCGCTCACACCCCACGTCCCTCACACCCTCTGCTGGTGACCCTGGGGAGGTCCCTGCTCTCGTTTGGTCTGTACAAAGTGGGCTGGCTGCACTGGCAGCCCCTTCGGGCTTTCTCGGGATGGTCAGGAGCCTGAGCTGGGCCAGCCTGTGCCATGCGGGCTCCATTGTCAGCGGCAGCTGTTCCCCACAGAAGGCGAGGAGGAGGCGGCGGCAGTGGCGGTGGCGGCGGCGGGGGCAGCGGCCTTGCGGAGAGAGAAGAAGCGGAGTCGCCCCCGGGAAAGAGTGAGGGTGCTGGGGGTCCGGCTGCAGAGCTTCTGCCTGTCCCTGTGAGTGCCCGGCTGGGAGCGCCCAGATGAGGGTGGGAGGGAGGAGCAGGGCCTGGACTGAGCCCACCTGCCCACAGGGCCCAGAGCATGTACTGGCCTGTGCGGCGCTTCTTCCAGGACATCCTGCACACGAAGTACCGGGCCGCTACCGACGTCTATGCCCTCATGTTCCTGGCCGACGTCATCGACTTCATCATCATCATTTTTGGATTCTGGGCCTTTGGGGTGAGCTGGGTCTCAGCCCTGGTGAGCCCAGGCCCCACGGCCTCCCCAGCACCCCTAAACCTCTGCTCTCCCGGCCACAGAAGCACTCGGCTGCCACGGACATCACATCCTCCCTGTCAGACGACCAGGTGCCCGAGGCTTTCCTGGTCATGCTGCTGATCCAGTTCAGTACCATGGTCATCGACCGCGCCCTCTACCTGCGCAAGACCGTGCTGGGCAAGCTGGCCTTCCAGGTCGTCCTGGTGCTGGCCGTCCACCTCTGGATGTTCTTCATCCTGCCCGCCGTCACCGAGCGGTGCGTGCCAGGGTTCAGGCCCCGCCTGGACACAGGCTTTGTGGTGCCTGGTGGAGGCAGGGTTGGGGGGTGGGGCACCCCGACCTCTGACCTGGCTTCCCGGTCCCGTCCAGGATGTTCAGCCAGAACGCTGTGGCCCAGCTGTGGTATTTTGTGAAATGCATCTACTTCGCTTTGTCCGCCTACCAAATCCGCTGCGGCTACCCCACCCGCATCCTTGGCAACTTTCTCACCAAGAAGTACAACCACCTCAACCTCTTCCTCTTCCAGGGGTGAGTGTGGCCAGCCTGGGGTGCTGGGCGGGGGAGGGCTGTCCTCCCTCCAGCCCTCCTGATGGTGCCCCTGCCTTGGGCAGGTTCCGGCTGGTGCCATTCCTGGTGGAGCTGCGGGCGGTGATGGACTGGGTGTGGACGGACACCACGCTGTCCCTGTCCAACTGGATGTGCGTAGAGGACATCTATGCCAATATCTTCATCATCAAGTGCAGCCGAGAGACCGAGAAGGTGCTGGGGCCTCAGGGGGCACTGGGCACTCACACCCACTGGGGTCGCACCTGGGGTTCACCGCCCACACAGCATGAGCCCAGAAAGCACTCTCCTAAAATCCTCCTGGTGGCCAGAAAGGGTTCCTCCCAGGGGATGGTGACGGAGGCTGCCTCAGGGGCGGCCCAACCGCAGAGGGGCTGGAGCCAACACTGGGCAGGAAAGGCCTGGCCTCTGGGCCCTGGCTCACTGTCGTGGGTCACGGTGTGAGCACTAACCTATTAACTGGGCTTTTGTGCTTTCTCATCTGTTTTATTGATAAAATTCACACATCACCGGGTGGATGGTTTCTAGTATATTCAAATCTCCATAAGCATCTGCACAGTTAAGACCACATTCATCATCCAGAAACCCCAGCCCCACCAGCAGTGGGTCCCCGGCCCTCGGCCCCCATCCACCCTCTACACGCGTGTGCCTGTTCCTGTCATGCCAGCTGCATGGACCCACAGCACATGGCCTTCCACAACTGGCTTCTCACAGCACAGTGTGGCCCAAGTTTATCCATGCAGCTGTACCACAGTTTCTCATGGCTAAGTAGTAGTTCATTGTGGTTAAGACTTGTGTATGTCCTTAAAAAAATAAAAGAAACGCCTCCACGGCCTTTCATATCTCCTGTGTGTGCACTTAGGAGTGGAACCCTGTGTCTCTGGGGGCGCCCTTCTGGGCCCTGTCGCTGTGGCACGGCAGGGACACCAGCCAGCTTGCCCCATACCCTCACCTGTCCTGGCAGAGTAGGGAGGTGTCTCACTGTGCTCCTGTTTCACCTGGTGACTTCTGTTTCCCATCAAGCATCTTTCCCTGTGGTTGGTCACCTGTGTATCATTGTCTTTGGAGAGACAGTCTGTCCAGGTTTCTCCCTGGTTCTTACTTGGGTGGTTTTTTGTCATTGTGAGGGTTCCTTATGTATTCCAGATACTAGACCCTCATCAGATAGATTTGCCCTGAAGGCATCTACTGCTTTAGGTCTCCTATGAGTTCATCTTTGTCAAGCATGTGGGTGACCAGCACCCTCTGTAGCAAAGGCTTTCCTTCCCCAAGGCCTCAAGGTGAGGGTCTGGTTCTGGCTTCGGGTCCTACTCCCTGGTCAGCTGTCTTCACCGCTATGGCTTCAGTTTCAATGTATAGTCAAGGCTTGGCTTTGTGGGCTCACAGGGGAGCCTGAGACCACAATGCCTGCTGCCAGGGCCCGCCATGGGGCCAGGTGGGTGACCTGTGTTTACCCCCCACTCCCAGAAATACCCGCAGCCCAAGGGGCAGAAGAAGAAGAAGATCGTCAAGTACGGCATGGGCGGCCTCATCATCCTGTTCCTCGTGGCCATCATCTGGTTCCCACTGCTCTTCATGTCCCTGGTGCGCTCTGTGGTCGGCGTCGTCAACCAGCCCATCGACGTCACCGTCACACTCAAGCTGGGAGGCTACGAGGTGAGCATCACGAGGGGGCCCGGCTTCACGTGGCTGCTGGCGGCAGGGCTGGGGGGCCTCTCCGGGCGCCAGGTCACTGTGTCCCCACCGCCAGCCCCTGTTCACCATGAGTGCCCAGCAGCCGTCCATCGTGCCCTTCACGCACCACACCTATGAGGAGCTGTCCAAGCAGTTTGACCCCCACCCGGTGAGTGGCCCCCCCATGCGTCTGCCTGGGATGGGAGGGGGGCCTAGCTGCTCCCCACTGAGATGCCGCCCTGCGCCCAGCTGGCCATGCAGTTCATCAGCCAGTACAGCCCTGAGGATATCGTCACGGTGCACATCGAGGGCAGCTCCGGGGCGCTGTGGCGCATCAGCCCGCCAAGCCGGGCGCAGATGAAGCGGGAGCTGTATAACGGCACAGCCGACATCACCCTGCGCTTCACCTGGAACTTCCAGAGGTGCGTCCTGGGGGGAGCCCCACCCTGTGCTTCACCTAGAACTAGAGGTGCATCCTGGGTGGGGAGCAGCCCCAAGGGGTCACACACCCCACTGGGTCACACTGTGCCGCTGCCATAGGGACCTGGCTAAGGGCGGCAGCGTGGAGTACACCAACGAGAAGCACACCCTGGACCTGGCCCCCAACAGCACCACCCGGCGGCAGCTGGCCAGCCTGCTGGAAGGTACCTCGGACCAGTCAGTGTGAGTGTGTGGGGGGCCTGGCGTGGAGGGAGGGCTGGACAGGAGGGCTGGACCAGGCCTAACTCGCCACGTCTCCCCACAGGGTCATCCCCCACCTCTTCCCCAAGTACATCCGTGCCCCCAACGGGCCTGAAGCCAACCCTGTGAAGCAGCTGCAGCCCAGTGAGCAGGGCAGGGGTTCGGGTGGGGGTGCTGGCTGCAGCTGCAGCCCTGGACAGCTGGGGGCCCTGACACCTCCTGGTTCCCACCTAGACGAGGAGGCTGACTACCTCGGCGTGCGTATCCAGCTGCGCAGGGAGCGTGTGGGCACAGGGGCAGCTGGCTTCCTCGAGTGGTGGGTCATTGAGCTGCAGGACTGCCAGGCCAACTGCAACCTACTGCCCATGGTCATCTTCAGTGACAAGGTCAGCCCACCCAGCCTGGGCTTCCTGGCCGGCTATGGGTGAGTATGGTGGGGCCAGGAGGCGGGGCGGGGCCGGGGCCGGGGTGGGGCGCAGGCCAGCGGCAGCCCGAGGCTCACTCGCCCACCCACCTGCCCCCAGCATCATGGGGCTGTATGTGTCCATCGTGCTGGTCATCGGTAAGTTCGTGCGCGGCTTCTTCAGCGAGATCTCGCACTCCATCATGTTCGAGGAGCTGCCGTGTGTGGACCGCATCCTCAAGCTCTGCCAGGACATCTTCCTGGTGCGGGAGACGCGGGAGCTGGAGCTGGAGGAGGAGCTCTACGCCAAGCTCATCTTCCTGTACCGCTCGCCCGAGACCATGATCAAATGGACGCGCGACAAGGAGTAGAGCCGCCACGGGTGGAGTCGAGGCCCCGGCCTGATGCTGCTGTCACAGGAAGCCGCGGCCCGCCCGGCGCAGGACTGCTGGCCCTTCCCGTTGTCCCCCACCCCCACGCGTACTGTAGTTTTCTAATTAAAACGTTTTTATTTATACAAACGGGCAATCACATGCCGCCTGCCAGCCTTGCCTGTCTTCCTGCTCCCAGGGGTCTCCTGTCCCAGGCACTGGTCCGCGAGCTCAGCTCTCACCAGTCCTGGTCTCGTCTTCGCTGTCCCCCAGCAGGTACTCTCGGACCTCCTGCTCAACCGTGGCCCTGGGGGAACTGCACAGTAGGAACCCACACCCGGAAGGACCCCCCTGTGCTGCCTCCCCCGGAGAACAGGCAGTACCTCTGGCTGCGGAGCTGGGCCTCGGACAGGATGTAGGGTGGCAAGGGCTCCAAGGAGGGCTGCAACAGAGTCAGCACGGGCAAGGGGCCGCGTGGCACAAGGCTGGCCAGTGCCCACCTGTCCCTCGCCCGGCAGAGAGGTGGCCACTCACCAAGTCCTTCATGTTCACACGGCAGCCGTAGCACAGCTGCTCCATCACCTGGGCCCGGGGGTCCTCTCTGCAGAGACAGCTGGACTGAGCGCCTGGCCCGGCCCTCAGGGAGGACCCCCGGGCGCACCCACACTGTGCAGCCCCCAGGCACCGACCACAGCGGGTGGGGGGGCATGACAGGGCGAGGCAGGGACTCACCTCCTGCAGCAGCGGGGGGCCCCGCCCATCCCGGCACAGCAGCAGGGCCCGGCAGCCGCCCCGGCCTGTGCGACAGGGGGCTGCATCTGGGGGAGATGTGAGGTCTGAGCCCCAAAAGCCGTGGCGCTGTCTGCAAACAGAGAGGAGCTGATGGGACCTTGGGGGCCACAAAACCCCAAGAGCACTCACGGGTGCCCCGCCCCAGCACCACACCAGGTGAGGACGAACCGGCAGTGTCGACGTCCAGTGTGCACATGCAGAGCAGGCAGCGGGGGCCAGCGGCACAGCCGTCCCTGGGGGCCTTGATCAGCTTCTCGCTTGTCCTGGGGGTGGGGACAGGACTCTAAGACACTGCTGGCTGGGGGCTCTATCCCGCCAGCGCCCCCCCACCCCTAGTACTCACACACACACACCTATACACGGTGCTGATCGTGGAGGGGAACTGGGCCTGCAGTCTGAGGATGAAGGCCTCCATCAGCCGGTGGATGCTGGCCTTCTCGGGCGCCTAGGAGCAATGAGACAAAGGGGCAGCTGTGGGAGGAGCCCCACCTCAGATGAGCGTGGACCCTGGGCTTCTCCACAGCATCACTTGAGAGTCTGCTGTGGAGCAAGCCAGGCGCCCCACTTCTAGAGCACCCCCATTCAATCAGGCACCCTGACAGAGCCTATCCTGCCCCTCACCCCACCCCACAAACCCCCACTCAGGGAGGGCGGGGATGCCCCACGTGGGCTCCACTACGGCAAGGGGTGTGCATGCTGCTCACCTTGGTGTCCAGGGCTGGCGTGCAAATGGAGGGCACAGCAAACAGGTGGTTGTAGAAGGCGACCTCCTTCAGCGTGTGCTCACGCATAGGCCGTACCACCACCACATCACCGTGTCGCTCGTCTGAGAAGCCCTGGGGGCGGTGAGGGGGACAGTGTTCCTCGCTGTACTCGGCTGCTCCTGCCCACTGGCGGGGTCCCAAGCTCTCCCCGCCTCCTGGGCGACCCCTGGGCAGCTTGTAGGCGCACCGTGTCCCAGGCGAGGAAGGCCCCTCTCCCCAGTGCCAGGCTGGTCATGAGCTTGATGGCCAGGCGGGTGCAGCTGTCCCCTGTCATGACTTTGGAGTAGCCGTGGTTCCGGGCCACGTGGAGAATCAAGTGGGTCCTGTGGATTGAGGCGGGAGGTCTCATGAGCCCAGGCAGGCAGGCCCAGAACTTGGGGGGCAGAGCGAGGCAGACTCACCGCAGAGTCTGCAGAAGCTCCTCCTTGGCCGTCAGCGTCTTCACCGAGTCAAACAACCTGGACAGCGCCTGGGTCTGGGCGGTCGCGGGTGGCCCAGTGTGGCTGTGGGGGTCCTGGGAGCAATGCTGGCTCTGCCGCTCCACCCCGTCAGCCCCCAGCGCGTGCTGCTGCTGCAGGAAACTGTCCACAGCAGCCTTGTAGGCTCCCTCCGTCCCCGCTGGCTCCTGGGCAGCGAAGCGCAGCACGGAGGGCGGCAGGCTGAACACCTGCGGGAGGGACAGGGGTGTGAGGCTCACCCCACGTGGGGTAAGCAGACCGTGCCCCTCAGGGACACCCAGTGCTCACCCCCAGGCCCTCTAACAGGGATGGCATGCCCACCTCTTCCAAGGCCACAATGTGCCATGGGAAGCCAGTGGTCTGCAGGACCAGCTTCACCTCTGCCAGGGTTTTCGCTCTGTTCTCGGGGCTCTGGCCGCAGGCAGCTCCCTCTGAAAACCGCAAACAGAGAAGAGAGTCAGGCTTAAAGAGATGCAGACAGTGGTCAGGACCAACAGCCCTGTGCCCTGGGGGCAGCGGTCTCTGAACGCTGACCTGCTCCTTGGGGGGCATTTTCAGAGTGGCTGCTGAATTCTCTGGGCATGGGATGGAGGCCGGAAGGGTAGGTCCCCTCAGGCAATGAACTCGCCCTTCTCACTCAGTGCCCTGGACCCTGGGGTGGACACTCAGCAGATGCTCCTGCCCAACCCTGGACGGTCTGAGACAGGACGGCAGTAGTGCTGTCCGCCGAACACACTCACTGTCTCCAGAGAAACGCCCCCAGGAGGGCTTCCTGTGGGCACAGTGCCAGCGGTCAGCAAGCCCACCCGAACACCAGGGCCCAGGAGGAGACATACCATCAACGTAGACAACCCCTGGCACGAAACGCAGCCTCTTGGCAGAATCTCGACTCAGGCCCTGGGGGGATGTGACAGGGCCTCAGCTCCAAGGCCAGAAGCCACCGGGCCCTTTGCTGCAGAGACTCTGCCCCTTCCAGACTGAGGGCCCCCAGGAAAGGGCAGTGGTGTCCCCTGTGCTGTACCGAACTCCATGCAGGCCCTCAGGGGGGAGGCACAGCCCGACAGGCTTCAAAGCGGCACTACCTGGGGCACCTCTGTCCCCCTCCAAATAAAACCCACCCTCAAAGCCTGTCTGTGCCTCCAGGCAAAACCCCGAGAAGCCCCTGCCAAGCCCCTCAGACCACTCAGAGCAAGAAGAGACCAGGACAGCAAGGCGTCTCTGGTCACGGGGAAGAGAACCCACGGGCGTGGGCCCGGGGGAGGGGGCTGGTATCACATCCTCTGGCCAGGTTGTGGGGACCGGGAGGCAAGGGCAGAAAACCAAGCACAGAAGTACCGCCCCCAGGAAGCCCTGGTACAGGCCACACCACCACCCCTTAGAGGGCACGCAGGGCTCTGGGTATGTGCCACGCGGGTCAAAGCCTCCCAAGCGCCCCAGGGCTACCAGGAGGAGTCCCACTGCCTCCAGTGCCCAAAGCAGGCCTGTGGATGGGCCAGAGCACAGCCCCCATGCCCCTTGTCTCTCCACTGACAACCCCCAAGACCCTGCCCCTGCCTCTCCGAGACCCCCCTTAAACTGCTCAAGGAAGCCACCCTGACCCCTGCCAGGACCGAGCCCATCCAAGGTCCCTGGGGCACCTGCTCTTGCTTCACTGTCTTGTTCCGGGCACCCTCCCTGGACCAGGGGAACGCCCCTGGTGCCTGGTGCTGTCCAGCAGCACATGTCTGCAGTCAAGAAAAGGGACAGGGCGCTAAACCCAGACACGGCTGGGCACTCCTCACACCACTCCGGGGCTGGCGTCCACGTGCCCACATCTAAGAGCCCCGAGCAACCTGGCTGGGGAGGGGACCTTTCTCTCCAGCCCCAAGCAAGAGTCCCTTGGTGCCAGCCCCCACCACTGGATCCTGGCTAGGCGTGGCAGGAGGATGGTGTAGAGACATACCTCAAGGACCTGCCAGACCATGGAGCTGGATGAAGCCCCCCCAGACCACGCCAAGAGCACCTATGGAAGAAGGAACATCACTGGGGGCACCGCACCTCCAACATGGCCCCTCATCTCTGCCCACAGATGTCTCCAGATGTGAGTCCCCCAGAAGTCCAGGTGTGCACCTGTGGGATAAGCTGGCACGATGAGGCTGGGACAGGCCGCCTACAAGGGGGGCGCCACACCCTACCTTCTCTCCTGGGAAGATCAGCCGGTTCTTCCCTAGCATGGCTCTGAACTTGTGGATGTACAACGCCTTGAAACAGTCCCTGCAACACAAACACCAGCAGCTGTGGCAACACAGCCCTGACCACCCAGCAACACTTTGCAGGCTGACAGCCTGAGAGTCCACCAGGTTACATTTTCTTTCAGCCACTTCCACCTTCAAAGCAGTGTCTTGACATTAAAAGCTGCACCCAAAGATGGGTGAGGATAGAAAGGAAAAAAAAAAAAAGTGGAACAAAAGAAAGCAAAAAGGAAGAGAAAGAGAGAAGAGAGACAAGCAGAGAGAAAGCAGCTCCCTCCCCAGAAACCCAGCAGGCAGCCAGGTGGAGCAGAGGGGCCCAAGCAGAGGGGAGTAGAAGGACCTGAGCGGAGGGGAGCAGCGCTGCCCCGGACAGCGGCCAAGCCTGGGGCTGTGCCCCCACAGCATTTCCTTCTTCCTGCTCGGACAATCTAGTGTCACAACAGCCCCCAACACAGAACAGGCCCTGCTTATGAACAGCCGACCAAACACCCCATGGAGGCTTTGTGGACAGTAACTCAACAGCAGAACACCGAGGCTCCAGGGACTCCTGGGGATGTGCCACCGGGTAACCTGGAAGGTCAGGACCCTGGGAGGTTCCTTGGGCAAACACGGATGCTCAAAGTGGCAGAGAGGACCCTGCAGCTGCCATAGCCGTGCCCCCCACAGCACCATGAGGCCCCTGCTCTCCGTCTGGTCAGGCGAGGCAAGAGCTTCCTACATGCTGACTTTCTCCACCAATGAGGAACTTGCTCAAAACCCAGACTGCCAAAATCTGCAACCTGGAAGATCAGCCTGTCACCTCTTCCCAAAATAAGCAAGCAGGGGAGGGAAGCCCTGGGCCCAGGAGGAGTCGCTGTGGCCTCTCTCCTCCTCATCGGGGAGCTCTCCAAGCAGACCGGAGAGACCATCATTTCCAGGTGCTCTTATGTGGTTAAAGCAGTGACTTTCGTATCTAAAACATATTTCATGACAGCACACAGCAAATCTACTTGGCCCCCAAAAATGGGCAACTGAGAAAGTTTGGAGAAAACAACTTATTTCATCCCTTTGTCTTCTTTTTCAGAAACTTAGTAAGTAGAGTCCGATACTCTGGGAGACCCATTTAAAAATGTGAGCTGGTCAAATAACTCAACGTGTTAATTTGCTATGCATGCCACGTCACCAGAATTTCATAAAGCAGGTGACAAGCCTGACCCCTGTGGAGCTATGGACACCGTGAACATGACCAGACACTGAAAAGTTATGATTCACGGGCAATGTGACAGGGCCACAGACAGCTTCAGATCAGACAGAACATGCTAGGCCTCTCTGGGACCAGCCCCCGCTCCTGTCCAGAGGTCCCCCCACGGACTGCCCCTGGTGGTCCAGTGGCTAAGAGTCTGTGCTCCTAATGCAGGGGCCTGGGGTCCATCCCTGGTCAAGAAACTAGATCCCACGTGCCTCAACGAAGACCTGATGGAGCCAAATAAATAAAACAAAAAAAGAAACCAAAAAACCTCCAAAGGTCCCCCCACAGCTGGGTCAGAACCTCCTCTTCCATCCCTCTCTCTCTCTCACAATACAGGCAACACACAGAGCGCCTGCCAGAGCGCCCAGGGTGCTCCAAGCTGCCCCTGAAGAGCTCTTCTCGCCTGCACCACACTCCTCTTCACCTTCACTCCCAACTCTCTCTGTAAGCGGCACCCGGACCTTCCTGCCACCTGATGCACGCCTGGACGATGGGAGAACGGCACTCACACAAGAACCGACATCCAGAGCCATACACACACACTCACCCACCCGTGGACATTAGGAGTAAAATGCTTTCAAAAGCAAGGAATAAAGCCGCAGAAATGGAGGCAGTCCTGGTTACTAAGACTGTGTGTGCCGAGTCACCTCCCACCTCCAGGCCTCACCTGCAGAAGGCGTCTCCAGCCCGGATCACCACCACAGGCAGGCCTTCCTTGCACTTCACACACTTCTGATCCTCGATTCTGAGGCATTGTGAGAAGAGAGATCAGGACACTGATTACACGCACTCAGGGGCTTCAGAGAGGCGGCAGCTGGTTTCTCATCCCAAGCTGTTGTACCAGAGAGGCCATTGGGGGGGGGGGCGGGGGCCTGCACCTCACAGACCGGACCTTGTATCTTCTCCAGACTACCCCTCTGAGGAAATACCAGGGCCCTAAGAGGATTTCAGTTCGTTAAAGCCAGCTCAGTGGGCTCTTTTAGGGCTGGCACGAGAAGGGAGACAGCTAGCTCTGGGAGGTCCTGGAGGGAAAAACTGGAACCAGAGTGCAGAAGCGGCCGGGAGGCCGACTTTCCTCGCCGAGTAAGGACAGTTTGGTCAGAGGCGGAACCATTCCACTGGCTACAAAAATTAGAGGAGCGAGCGCGCCAAGTGTTCACCACGGGATTGCCAGGCACTCCCCGGGTGCTGAGGAGCGAGGTCCACCCCACACCAGAGATTGCTGGGCTCCCAGAACCCGCCCTGGGCGGTCTCCGGGCTTCCCGGAGCGTGGTCCCCGAGACTGAGCGCAAAGCGCGCACGGGCTGGCCCTCGGGGCAGAGCTCGCCGCCTGCCGGAGGGGCGGAAAGAAAGCGGCGGGTACAGCTGCCCAACTCTTACCCAAGCCGTGGCTGCGGCAGCCCCTTGGGGACGGACTCCCGGTACTCCTCAGACATCTCGCACATGGCTTCGCCGTGCCGCTTAGCAGACAGCTTCGACGGCAGAAGCAGGACGCATCCTGACTACGTCACCTAGGCGCCGGCGCGAGGGGCGGCCGCTCCCTATGACGTCAACACGACGCCGACGCAGCCGTGACGCTCGAACCGGGGGCGAGCGCTCCTTCTGACGTCAACTCGGCGCCGGCGCGGCCGTTACGCGCAGGCCGAGCCGGGACAGGGGCGGCGGCGGGCGGCCGAGCCCGGGGATGGCGATGTTCCGCAGCCTGGTGGGCTCGGCTCAGCAGCGACAGCCGCCGGGCGGGCCCGCGGGCGGCGATAGCGCCCTGGAGGCGCAGTACAGCTGCCCCATCTGCCTGGAAGTCTACCACCGGCCCGTGGCCATCGGCAGCTGCGGCCACACGTGAGTGCGCTGGCCTCCGGGAGGCCGCGGGGTCGGGCGCCGCCGCGGGGAGGTCTGAGGCCACCCCAGCGCAGTCCCAGCGCGCGAGGACTTGGGGGGCGAGGGGCTTCATGCGCAGCGCCGTTGCTGCCCTCTGGGCACGTCCATCCGCCTCAGCCCAGCGTCCTGCCCGCCCGCCGCGGGCGCTCGACCCCAATCACCCCGTCGGCAGACAGGGCCGACCTGCAGAGGTGCCAGGTCTCGGGTGCCAGGAGCCGCTGACGGCCTCGGCGGGCCTTCCTGGGAACTCAAAGGGCAGCGGGCGCGACATCTGTGCCGGTTGCCTTCCATCTGGTCTCGTGGAGACTGGGGTGGGAAATTGTAAATAAATGCTTTGTGGCTTTTGCTGTCAACTATTTTTTGGATCCGCTGTCAGCTTGTCGTGACTGCAGAGGAGAGGAGTTCCCTAAAGTTTGGACAAAGGCTTGCTTGGAGTCTGGTGCTGTTTTGTTTTGATGGAGAACTTTGGTCACCATGGGTCACTGAGCAGCCAGGCAGGCTGGCCCTCGGTGGACCAGATGCCACACACCAAGCTGCGCCAGGGCCAGTTGTTTCAGGAACACAAACCGGAGGATGTGGCTCTTCTCCCAGCAGAGAGCTGCACTCATGTCTTCTGGGAGCTGCCAACCTGGTTGGGGGGCGGGGGGCGGTCTGAGATCAGAGTGTGTGGTCGCCAATTTTCCAGAAGGCTGAATAACACAGCTCTTAAGTGAAATTAAAAGGGTGGGAGAAGGGGCAGGAGGGCTTGGCCCCCCGCAGAGCTGCTGAGGAGGTGGGGCCAAGGTGCACCCAGGATAGCAGGAGGCCCCAGAACATTTTGCAAACAAAGGCAGCTGGCCTAGGAGGTTCTTGATGCAAAGAGGAAACTGGAACTGCTAGGTGTGTATGCTGTGTATCCTCAGGCTGCAGGACTGTGTCAGGAGTCGGGAAGCCTTTACACACACACAGTGCAGGCGGCACAGACACCCACCTGCGCACCCTGGGAGAGTGCTGCTGACTAGTCCTGAAGGTGCTGTGCCTCACTTTTCCATGCTGTTTGTGACATTTTGGCAGGGGCAGCTTTTGAACAGCACCTCTCTCGTCAACACACACCAGTGGGTGTTGTCACAGTGTGTTCAGCTTCTTCCAGCCAATCATTGAGACAGCTGCAGAGCTTGTCTTGGGGCCCAATTTTAGAAAGCCTTTCCTGGGCTTAGGATTTCTATCAATACTCACCCAGCCCTAGACACAAGGCTTTTTTCCCAAATAGTCTTTTTAGAATACAGAACTACACAAACTGCTGTGAAAGCATATTCTTCTATAATACCCTCTCCCCACACTTTTCTTGGCAGAATCAGACCCCTCTTCTCCTGTTCCTGAGGCTGGTCCTGCAGCAGCCTCTTCTTCAGCTTCTGCCTTAGAAATATTTTCTTCCTGACTCTACCTGCTGATGTAAACCTACTGGCTGTTTATCTCTGCTGCTTACTTTCCATAAGTTTCTTGTCCAATGTTTTGAAGGCATGTGTGCAAACGAATACGAAAGATTTAAAGACACACCTTTCCTTTTAAAAGAAAAGTCTGCTGGTGGTCTGGTTATCTGCCTCACCCCACAGCTCCCTGACTAAGCAGTTTCCTTCCACAAAATAGGTTTTCTGGACGTGACAGCAGCGCTGCCTTGCCTGGGCCTGGATTACTGCCCCAGCACCAGACAAAAGGGGACAGGTCATAGGGAGAGCTTTCCAGCAGGAGCCCAGAGGCAAGGGGGCTCCTCGGTGGAGACTGTGGAAGCACTCCCAGGAAGTCCACAGAGGAAGCCAGTAATCTGTCACACTCAGGGGATGCCCTGGGCAGTAAGCCGCATCTGGAACCAGAAGCCACCTGGCTGTTTCTAATGCTCTGACGAAGCCTCCCCTAGTGCCAGTGTATTTGGGCCAGAGTTCTGCCTGGGCTGCCTCCAGCCACTGTGCCTCTTCTGTCGCCCTCTCTGGTCAGTGCCATCACATTGTCCCCCACTTAAGTGTCCCCACGTGCAGTCTGTTAACGAACAGAAGTTGTAGAGAAACTGATACACTCATGCATAAGGAGATACATAGGGAATGGTGGTAACAGACATTTTCTGAGTCCTCCCTGCTTGCAGAGGCCTGGGAGACAGGTGCTGTTACTCTTCCTGTGGAAGGAAAAGGAGATCACGGTGACCAAGGGCAGTTCCCAGGTGCGCAGCAAAGCTGAGGCTGGAGCTTAGGCTGCTGGGCCAGGCCAGCCTCTCAGCCCCTCTAACTGAGGCCCCTTCTGCGACCACAGTCCCCAGCACCTGTGGGCCAGTGCCTGCAGAGACCTGGGACTGCTAAGCATATACTAGCCTGGAGCGGGCTTCTCTGCTCAGTTTGCAAGGCCTCTGTCCACCAGCTCAGTGGCCTGAGAGGCTTGGGTCCCAGGCGGCTCCCCTGTGTTGTGCAGGTGGTGACCAGTGGGGGCAGCACTGGAGCGGTGGGCCCACGCAGAAGAGGCTTCGGCCAGCTGACAGGCTGCCCCCCACGCCCCAACCAGGTCTCCATGTGCCTGTGAGGGCACACACTGCACCTCGTTTTGCCCCCAGCTCCTCGGGGAGTAAGACACGAGATGGCAGTGTGTCAGGCAGGGCTCGTCCTGCTTCTGGAACCGCAGCTTCCCTGCCTCCCCTCCCCACCAGGCGCCCCTCTCCCTACCCGAGGCTGGTTTGTCCTGAGCACACCCTCAGCCTGGCGCTCTGTGAGCTTCCTCCAGCTCCTTGTGGCTCAGAGCATCCCCTCACTGAAAGCACACACAGGTGGCTGCATGGAAGCCAGCATGCAGGAGAAGGGCCTCTGGATCGCCTGGGGTGCCTCTTCCTGAGAAGAGGTGAAGTCTGAGGCGGAAGCACGGGGGCCTGTGCTCAGCTAGGTCGTCTGTGCCCCCAGAAATGCCCGCAGCCCCACCTGCCTGACCCCCACGGGACAGGGCACAGCCCGATGCCCGGCAGGGTTCATGCAGGCCGCCAAGCTGCCACCTTTCTCACGGGGCTAAGCCTCTGGGCTGTGGACGAGGCTCCAGTCTGCTGAGCAGACACCTCGACACTTCCTACAAGGCCAGATTGAGCTGGTCCTGAGATCAGGCTCTCGGTCCCTCTTGTCCCCCAGCTGAGAGTGTTCGACCTGCGGCGTGTGCTCTTCTGCAGCACAGGGCTGGTTATGAACGCGAGCTGCTGTGGCCAAGCACCCTCAGGTGCAGAACACGGCATCTCCAGAGACATGGCTGAGAGCTCAGAGCCAAGAGGAGCCTGGGCGCCTGGGCACAGCCCCTCTGCCACCCTGCCTCTGCTCAGGCTGGGCCCGAGGCCTGCTTGCCTGGGGACAGGGCATGTCCCAAGACTGGTGACGCTCCCTGGCCAGCCTTGGCCTTGCTCCGTCCAATGAGTGCTGGGCCCTGGGTCCCTGTGGTTTCCTCTCAGCAATGGGGGTTAGTGATTTTACCCCCAGACTTAGTGGGTGGAGGGCCTCCAGGGTCTCCCACGCTGTCCTGGAGCCCCCGAGGTATTGTCATCACCCGTTGCAGTGAGATGGGCAGGGTGGGCCCTGGCCCTCCCACAACCAGTGCTCTTGCTGGGACCAAGTCTGGGGGCCAGCACAGGACAGAGGGTCACGGCTGCAGCTCAGGAGCCCACGATGGGGCAGGGACAGGGCCATTTTTCAGCCAGACGGTGCCCACCCCGCCTGCAGGCCCCGCACAGAAGCACCCGCTGACGTAGGGGCGTGCAGCCCTCAGGCCCGTGTCCCCCCTGCAGGTTCTGTGGGGAGTGCCTCCAGCCCTGCCTGCAGGTGCCGTCCCCGCTGTGCCCACTGTGTCGCCTGCCCTTCGACCCCAAGAAGGTGGACAAGGCTGCCCACGTGGAGAAGCAGCTCGCATCCTACAAGGCGCCCTGCCGAGGCTGCAGTAAGAAGGTACTGGCTAGGGTCCCGGCTGGTGTGCAGGAGAACCGGGCGCAGGCCACCCCCCCGGTCCTGTTGAGCAACCTGCCGCTCCACTCACTTCCCGAGTGTGGCCTGGGCTCTGGGCTGTGGCTGATGCGGGAATGGGGGCTGAGCTGAGCCCACCCTAGACACAGCCTAACACCCCAGTGACCCTCGCACTGCAGGCGGTGACTGAGGCAGGCCCAGGCCCACCAGTCCCTGCAGCACCCGAGCTCCCCAGCCTGCCCCACACCTGCTGTTCCTGCAGGCGGGTGCACCACCTCGCAAGGGACCCAGCCTGGGAGCAGAACGTGAAGTGAGGTTTTCAGATTCCACAATTGCTCAGGTTAACTCTCCTGAGTTACCACAGTAGGAAGCGGCCCTGGTTGCTCTGTCCTCCGGGTTAAAGGTCTGAATGTCCAGGGGCCTCCTTCAGGCTCTCGTGCCCCTCCCTCCCAGCCCAAGAGCAGCGTGAGGCACCCCCGCCCTTGTTCTGTGTTGTGGTTCTTTCCACACAAGTGGGATCAGAGGGGCAGGCCTCACACAGCGTCCCCAGCCCTGGGCAAAGTGGGGCCAGGCTGGTGTCAGGAGGCCCGCCCCCTGTAACCCTGGCTCCTGGTGGGCACTCCTAGAGGCCCCTGCCCTGGGGAGCAAGCACTCCCCTGCCCTGCCCTGTTCTGAGCCAGTTCCACCTCTGGCCAGAGTGGGCAACCTGGTAACTGAGAAGGTTGTGTCACGTTTGCTTTCCTACTTCTTGATAAGGAGTTTTCAGCACATCTGACTGCCTAGAATTGTGTCTGCTGGCTCCCGTTATGAGGGGTAACTTTTCACAAATAAACACCCTCCCATGGGATCCCTGGTGGTCCAGTGGCTAAGACTCCACATTCCCAATGCAGGGGGCCCACCTTCTGCCCCTGGTCAGGAAACTAGATCCTACAAGGCCCAGCTAAAGATCCCAGTGGGGCAGCTAAGACCCAGAGCAGCCAAATCAATCAATCAATTAAACAAACACCCTCCCATGTCCCCCAGCTCCCCAGGGGCCCCGTCAGGGCTGCTCCCTGAAGGCCCCCTGCATGACCACAGCGTGAGCTGTGAGCGCCTGCTTCTGGGTGCAGCTCCGCAGCCCTGGGTGCATTGGCCTCCTTCAGCCGGGGTGCTGGCTGGGGAGTCAGGAACCAGGGGCCCCGCCCCCTGACCCTGCCCTGTCTCTTCCCAGGTGACACTGGCCAAGATGAGAGTGCACGTGTCCTCCTGCGTGAAGGTCCAGGAGCAGATGGCCAACTGTCCCAAGTTCGTCCCCGTGGTGCCCACGTCCCAGCCCATCCCCAGGTAGGCCCTGCACAGGTCATCTTCTGTGGGTACTTTCTGGCCTATGTCACAGGGTGGGCAGTGTGGCTCCGCCCTGAGGAGGTGGGAGGGCTGCTGGGCCCTCTGCGGAGGGCCTCAACCCCTGCAGGAGGGGACCCAGGAGGGCCTGGCCCAGCCCACCTGTCACCCCCCAGTGGGGAGCTCAGTCCTTAGGCTGGGGCCGGACAGATACCACTCTGGGCGCGCAGCCTCGTCGAGGAAGGAGAGACTGGGAGTTACTAGATGGGAGCTCCTGGTGGAACGTGCAGAGGGCAGGGGCTCCACCACAGCAGGGCCCACGGTGCGGGGAGGGCGAGCTGGCTGGGCCGTAGGAAGGGGGGCAGCGCCACTCACCCCCCGCCCCGGCCCAGCGCCGTCCCCAACAGGTCCACCTTTGCTTGCCCTTACTGTGGCGCCCGCAATCTGGACCAGCAGGAGCTGGTGAAGCACTGCGTGGACAACCACCGCAGCGACCCCAACCGCGTGGTAAGCCCGCCGCCCCGGGACCCTGCTCCCCACGCGCACGGCCCCGTGGACTCACCCCCGCCTCCCGGCTCTGTCCCAGGTGTGCCCCATCTGCTCGGCCATGCCCTGGGGTGACCCCAGCTACAAGAGCGCCAACTTCCTGCAACACCTGCTCCACAGGCACAAGTTCTCCTACGACACCTTCGTGGTGGGTGACCCGCCTTCCCCCTGCCCTGCAGTGCTGGTGGTGGGCGGGTCTGCAGGGCCACTAGAGGCAGAGGTCTGGGGGCTCTGGGCTGTGCAGAGTGGGCCCCTCACCCACAGGCCAACCAGCTCTCCTCACTCGGGGCTCCTCTGGGGGAGGTGCCATCGCAGGGGCACCATCTCCCTGGTTTTGCACTGAGGCCTGGGGACACAGACCCTCCTTGGGGACAGGCCCCTCCGAAGCCCACTGGGCAAGAGCCACATCCCACCTGCAGACGCTCCCCTCTTGTGCGCCCCCAGGCCTACTCTTCCCATCCCCTGCCAGCCTCCAGGCACCCGGCCTCATAGGGTCCCGCCTCTGCTCCACCCACACTTGGTCCTGGTGGTAGAAACACGGGGGTGCTGGCTTCCCCCCCGCCCCCGGTCCTTGAATCTGGGGGGAAAGGACAGCTCTTGTTACTCGCGTCCACTGTGCACAGTCTGTCCAGCCCTCCATCACTGGGCACAGTGTCCTCAAGGCAGCTTGCTGCGTGGACTTCAGGGCAGCCAGACCATCCCCCACTAGTTGCCACGAGGTGCCCGGGACCCATGACCGTGAGGGCTGAATGGCGGCAGGGCGGGGGGACTGGACGCCGGTCTGTCCGAGGTGACCGGGCAGGGGTGGCCCTGAGAGACCACAGCGTCCCGCCCAGCTCTGCCCCTGTCTTCCAGGACTACAGCATCGACGAAGAGGCCGCCTTCCAGGCCGCCCTGGCCCTGTCTCTCTCTGAGAACTGACAGTGCCACCACTGGCTGAGCCTTCCCACCTCCAAGGACAGAGCCTGCCGGCTCCTGCGCCCAGACCCGCCGGGGAAGGCGCCCCGAGGGCCAGGCAGAACCACATCGCTGCCAGAGGAGAGGCCGCGTCCCCACAGCCTGCGCTCCTGCTGAGCGCCATTGGCTCCTCGGTGCTCGGGCTGAGCAGGTGGCCTCGCGGGGCAGCCACTGGGGCAGAGTGCGGCCCCTGTCCGTGTCTCAAAGCCATGCTGTCCTCCCTGCCGAGAGGACCCTTCAGGCCCCGCCACGTCCGCAGGCCCCGCCACCCAGCAGGGACGTACAGGGGCCCGGCCCAGCACCTGGCAACGCTTCCCCCTTGCGCGCTCGGTACTGGCTTTTGTGATACCTAGAGGTTCCGCACTTTTCTATATTATCCGGTGTGATGACCTTTTCACGTTTTCTAGAGCAAAGACAGAGCAGTTAACCCTTCATATTGCAATATCTGTGTTTGACTAGGAACAATAGTATTTTTATGGAACATTTACAAAATTATATTTTTTAAAAAAAACAAAAACAGTTGTGGGATAGGTGGGGGAAGGAGAGACAGGACAATGGCAGTGCGTGGGGACCAAGGTGACCACATCCCCAGGTCACTTCGCCGTTCCCCAGGGTCCCTGTGATAACAGCCAGAAGAAATCCCAGTGCCTGGCCACTTGCAGAGGCAGCCGGGTCTGCTCCTGGCCTCCCACCCGAGTCCTGGCCTCAGCCCCGCTGTCACTGTTCTGAAGCTGACCACCTCCCGCCCCAGGCAGGGCCACCCCCAATGGTGGCAGAACGCGGGGGCCGGGGCAGTGGCTGGTCAGGCCAGAAAACGCTCACTGGCACCTTCATTTGGTTTCTGGCATAAATTATTGCTGTCTTTAAAAAAAAATTTTAAATAAAACGTTTGAAAGCATCTCAAGAGGCCTGACCAGTGTATTTCCTTCAGCAAATATTAACAGCAGAGGGCTGGAGTGGGGTCAGGAGACTGTCCTCTGCTGCAGGCCTGTGGGCACGTATCCGTCCCCAAGGAGTTCCACCTCAGAGGCTCCCACGGCCTCCCCAGGCAGCCTGCCAGGCTGTGCCCTCAGCATGTGCCCTCACTGCCCAGCCCAGGAGCTGGCCCTCCTCTCAGACATCCATCCAGGGACGGTGGTCTCAGGCCAACGTCAGTGCCAGGACCCCCTGCTGTTTCCAAGTCAGCACAGGCCTTTAAAACATAACAAGCACCCTGTGTGGTCAGGGTCCTGGTGCCCTGCCGAGCTGTCCCTGCCTGCCTCCCCTGCCTGTGCCCTGGACCCTGCCCCTCAGGAGAAGGTGAGGCTCCCACAGACTGTGGCAGGGCTGACAAGCAGAGGCCTCCACGAGAGGACCGTCCTGCCTGGGGCACAGTTAGCCGCTATAGAAAGCCTTCCTCAGGAGCCACCAGCACTCTACCCCCACTGACCATCCTCTGACCCCACTGGCCACGGATGCCACCTGCCAGCCTGTCCTTCCTGCTGCCTTCCAGAAGAGGCCGTGACGTGGTCCCAGGGGCCACCCAGGCCCAGCCTCAGCTTCCCCGGGGCTGGCGGGAAAGGAAGCGTGTGCCTGAAGTCCCCCTCCTGCAGGAGGCCAAGGGGCTGGGATGCAGCCCCCCATGTGCAGGTATAGGAGCCTCGGGGTGGCCCTGGCCAGTCCCCTAGGGCATGGAGCCAGCGGGGGCAGCGCAGGGACCGCCCAGCTCCAGAGGCCAGGTGCAGACGCTGCCCCGCATCCTCCCCCTCCCCCCACCAGCCCAGTGCCTTACTCCACCATGACCCTCCCCTGCCCCCGGCAGTCGGCAGTGCTGACCGCTCCGGGGCTGGCCACCCTGCCCCCGTCCAGGACCTGTCACTTCCCCCCCACCACCCCGGAGCTGCCAGCACATCGTGTCCGGGACACATTTGGTTCTGGGGTCACTGGGCCCGTGTCCCAGCCCCAGTTCAGCTGGCAGCAGCTACGTTCTCCCCTCCTGGACACAGCCAGCCTGGTCAGCCACCCACAGGCTGCCTGGGGAGGACGGAGCTGCTTTCATGTGCCCGTCACGACCCTTGGTGCCCACAGAGTCCCAGGGGCAGCCTTGGGGCAGCCTCAGCAGGTCCTGACGTCACAGTGCCCTCGAGGAAGCGACGCCTGGGTGTCTGTCCCCAGGTCTCGCCCTGTGGAGGTCTCAGCACCCACCATGTCAGCACACGACCAAGGGCTCCCAGCCACAGCAGGCTGGCAGTCCCTGGGGGTGATGCCCAGGCTGCAGCGCCTCCTTCTGGACTCTCTCCAACATACCCGAGCACCGCATGTCTGACCACGAGACACTCCCTGGAAGGAGCTTTGAACTGCCTCACCACAAGACGGCGGGGACTGACGGGCCCAAGGACCCCTCCACACAGTGGGCCTGAGAACACATCCCCAGCAGCATGTAATCAGCACCTGCTGGCAGCAAGCTTCCGTGCCCAGAACCCGTGATGAGCCCTGTTCTCCGGCCCAGCTAGCTGCCAGAGCCAGGACCCGATCAGGAGGAGCTGCCCTCACGATCACAGAGAAGAGAGCCGCGCCCTGTGGCCCTCCGGCCTCTCCCACAGGCCGCCAGGAACGAGGGCCCAGATGGGGAAGGGGCTCTGAGAGAGTGCTGTGGAGCCCAGAGTTTGGAATTCGGCTGTGCACCAGCAGACATTCCCCTGCAAACCCTGGCCCACCTGCAGAAGCCCGACTGCAGTGACACCCGGAACAGCTCCTGCAGCATTACTCGTGTGCACGCCAGAGTGCAGGCCTGCACACACCTGAGTATTGACACATGCACATGTGTGTGTCCCTCCTCAGCCCCACATCACCTGTGAGGCTCAGCACCTGGTGATGCACCCACTGCGGGTCACAGCTGTGTGTGGTCAGGGTCCCCTCCCAGAAACCCCACGTCACACAGCATGTGAACCCCTCCCCCCATTTAGGAACCAGTATCACCTCTAACTATCAGCCCTCTAGAGGGATCCTGCAGCTGTTAGCAGCTGTGAGCCCCTTCTGGGGGTGACCACACACACACACTGGTCACCAGCCTGACCCAGAGCCCTGGGTCCGTGACTTTGGACAGCCACGAGGATTCTCCAAGGCAGGCTATCACAGTCATGCCCTTATGACAAATATGCCACACACCAGCACAGGGGCCACGCCACCAGGGCAAGTGCCCTGAATGCTGGGACAGCCAAGCCCCAGCTGCAAGGCCAGGTTCTGAGTGCCATTCTGAGCCCCAGAGCCAGGCTCACCACGGGGCCAGGTACCTTCATCCAGGTGTCTACACTGGAGAGATCCCCAGGGAGGGGCATGCCTGGACCACACCTGACACTTTTCCATGTAATCTGACAGGTACTGCTGAGCCCCGATCACAGACCCAACCTCACCCAGGCACTGTGGGGGAGGGCGAGAGCGTCCCACCTCTTCAGCCCTTGGGCTGCATCTAACATGGAGGGGCTTTACACATTGGGCCAGGAAGCCCAGTTAGTAGAAAATCCAGGCTCAAAGGAATACAGATGCACAAGCCCAGAGTCACATTGTAAAGCACAGAAAAGAACAAAACATACCTGTAAAAGAAAGAAAACACCAATGTAGAAGGAATTGTAACAATCTTACCTGGGCTCTGCTGGCTCAGTGTCTGATAGAGGCAAGCGGGCAGGTAGCCACAAGCAGACATCTCCAAGTGTCAAGGGCAGACCCTGGGGTCCCTGCAAGTCCTGCTCTGATGGGGAGTGCCATTCCAGGAGGCTGGGGGGAGTGGGCTTCCGACAGCGCAGCATGGGGCCTAGCTGCAAGGCAAGGTGGCCATACTGAAGACAGAGGACACAGACCAAGGTGAGGGGGTACTGCCACCGACCTCAGGGCTGCACAGGGGCAAACAGGGCCGGCACTCGGGTTTTCCTCTGAGTCCTACTCCAGGCTGGCCCGGACACAACCCTGTGAGTCACAGCGAACAGGGAGTCTGTGTGACCACAGGAGGGCAGTTCTGAGCAGTAGGCAGGGACCTTAAACTTCCCTTTGGGTCACTGCTCATGGCAGCCCTCGGAAAGGAGCACCCCACCCCAGAGGTGCTCTAGGGTCCTCGAAATCCCTGGGGCATTTCTTGGATGAGATTGGCCAGTTCTCCATGGGAGTGCGCAAGTCCCTCTAGGGACTAAAGTCAACCTGGGGCGGCCACACAGTGGTTTACTGGGCAAGGAAGGACGGTGTGGGTGCAGGGCTGGTCCGGGTATCTGCAAGTGTTATCTACGTCTGGGAAGACAAAAAGGAAGGGAAGGTACGCACGGAAAGCTTGAGGCCACAGGAGAAACACACAAGCAGAAGGCAGCCACATGTTCTCTGAAATGCATGCGAGTGGAAACCCGGTGGTAAGCCAGGTGATGGGAGAGACAGACATCTTCTTCCATCTGTGCCCCACCTGTCTGTTCTTCCATGAGCCCTAACCAAGCAACAGACACCCTGAATGAGGCCGGAAGTGCCGACCCCGGTCCCAGTCCCACTGCCACCTAACTCAGCATGTTTTCTTTTCCGCAAAACTGAAGGCATATATGACCTGGTGTGACTCAGGCCTCCCTCCCCATGTCTCTCTGAGGCTCCTCTGTGGACTCCTCACCAACTCCACTCACCCCCAGGCTCCTGGCTGGCAAAGCACCAGGCTGCACGTGGTGCCTGCACCTTTCAAGGCAGGCCTGCTGCACAGACAGGGAAGTGCCTGGCGGTTCTCAGGGGCCTGGCAGTGTGTTCCTCCACCCCCGCCAGAGACGGACCCCTGAATTCATCAAATGTCCACATCAGAAGGTACCAGACATGCAGGCATGGCCGGCTGTCGGTGGCACTGAAAACTCCAAAAGACACAGAAGGTGAGGCTGTCTGGGCCACACAGCCTGGGCTGCAGCAGTGGGTGCCCTCTCACCCCACTTCCCACAGCTGCCTGTCTGAGCCCTCGGAATTCCTGAATG